TGCTGCATATTCCTTTTTCTTGTAAGGCCACTGATAGCTACTACCAAATACTTATAAATAGGTAAGAAAATATTGGTAGGTGGGAAGATGAAAATTACCAAAATGGAAAAATGCTAAGTTAAATTACAAAAATACAGTATGATTAAGACAGTACATGAGCCAGACATCATGTACACCCTTAATCCCAGTACTTAAGAGGTGCCTGGAGGATCTCTATGAATGCAGTCAGCCTGGTCTACAAGATAACTTCAAGGTCAGTAGGGACCACACAGTGAGACACAACTAGTATGTGGACAGAATAGCTAATATGGGTACTTCGGCTAGGTATAACTGGTAGTATGGAAGGTGGTAATATTAAAGGGCTGCCATTAGAATCAAACTGAGTGGACAAATGGGTTTAAAACAAATTGTCAGAGACATTACTGCTGAGATCTAGGTTTTTTTTTTTTTTTTTTTTTCTGGGACGACGAATGGTATTCACATTTTGAACTGTCAGTTTCTACTCACTTTTTCTTTGTAAGAGGCCAAACGTGACATAGTGGATCTTATTAAAGGCCACCTAATAAAAACCTCCAAGTAAGACTTCAGCTCCCACAGCTACCCACAGCTTTGGAGGAAAAAGTATCAACTACACTGCAAACAACCACAGTAAAACTAAAGCTTCAGAAGACTTTCTTAATTAAAAGTTAAAGATTTGGGGGCTAGAGATGGTTTAGCCTTTAAGACCACTTGTCCTGCAGAGAACCTGGGTTCATATCCCAGCACCTTCAAATGAGTGGATGACAGCTTCTGTAATCCAGTTCTTGGGGATGTGATTCTTATAGCCTCTGCAGACACCAGGCAGATGTGTGTACAGACATACATGGAGGCACTCACATAAGATCCTTAAAAAGTTGAAATTTTTGGGACCACAGAAAAATAGTTGATCTTCTAAAGTGAGATTTCAGGTTGATTTTACAATGTTAATTTTCCTATGTAAAATTTTTGAATTATGTTTTGGAAACTACAAAGCAATCACTAAATTCACTATCTATCTATCTATCTATCTATCTATCTATCTATCTATCTATCCATCCATTCATACGTTTATAGTGAATGGCTCAAAGAGAATTATATTCTACTTAATTTCTCATTTGAGTAGCTGGCATTATCAAAAAAGTTCATTAAAAGAGGCTAATAAAAATTACTGAGGAATTCTAAGGAGGCTTCTAAGTATGCCTACAAAGAGATAAACTGACCAGGTGTGGTATAATCCCAGTCCTTCTAAGACAGAGTTGGGAAGATCAAAAGTTAAAGGCCAGTCTAGAGTACATAAGCTCTCTATCAGATAGGGGCTGAGACTATACAGTGGTGCAACACTTTTTATGTGTAAGGCCATGTTTGAGCACAAAAAGAGAAAATGGGCAGGGAGAGGAATAGAAAATTACCAGACCACTGTCAAGAATAGTTTCAGTTTGTGGGCCTGCGAGATGATCAGTACGAAAGGTGCTGTCAAGTCTTATGAGTTAGGTTTAATACTAAAAAAACCATGTAATGGAAGGACTCCCACCACAGCATGTATGATTCTCTACTCCATTCACAGAAATAATGTGAAACTGAGAAAAAAACAATGGTGGCCTCAATTCGGATGATGGTACCAGATCTCTAATTCAAAACAGGGTTATTTCCTAGAGGTAGAATGTTATTCAGCAAACAAAGAGTAAACCAAGAGCCAAAAATTATCCATGGTATGTCCAAGGCAAGGACATGGTAGAGGGCATGAAGGGAGAGGTGTGTCTAAGGGGGGTGCATAGGCAGAACAGGGTGCAATGGCATGGTCCTAGCTACTTGGGAGACCAAGACAAAAAAACCACCTGAGCCCAGGGACTTTGGGCAAAATAGTGAAACTTCCTTAATTTTAAAATAAACAAGTTTATGGAGTGCATGAGGACAAAGATATAGATAGTTGTCAAAACCAAATTGTCCTAACCAGGTCCCACTCTGGAATAATGCCTAGAGCTGACTTATGGGAGATTCGCTTGTCTCATCACCTCACCACACACACTGTGACACACAAAAATTCCACACAAATAAAAAGTTTTAAAAAGAAACCAATCAAAAACAAGCCAGGTGTGGACACTTAACAGTTATTAACTAGAACTACAGTTTCTATCTGAAGACAATTTCTATTCTCTGGAATGTTCATATGTCCATTCTAGTAGGAATTTGCCTTGCTTCAATTGAGAAACTGATTTTACTGTCAACTTACCTTGAAATCCCATGCAATCCGATTTGTATCTTGATGGTTTTATTAAAACTGCTGTTACCAATGACTATGCCAAAACCAGTGTACTTTTCCTTAGCTTAATTATGAACCATTACCTTTAAAGCTATTTTCTACTTTATGTGTATTGCGTGTTTTTATTTTTTATCCTAAAGATTCGAATAACAAGATCTTCCTTCCATGCCTCCTTTTTGTGGTCTATAATTAATCACCTGTTATAGGTTCTTTCCACACTTAAAATTCCCTTAAGATTAATTTTAAAGTGAAGTGAGATCACACGCACGTGCTCTATTTGTTCTCCATTGCATCACAACATGAATTAATGCCTGTAGACCACATGTCTGCTACTAATTTTTTGTATTTTCTATCCCTTTAATTAAAAAAAGCATTGAGTGCATGTGTTTACATCGTGTGTGAATGCGTGTGCACAGGGCAGAGGACAACTTGCAGCCATCAGCTCTTTCCCACCATTCTGTGGGTTTGCAGGGCTCCAACGCAGGTCACCAAACACTTTTTACATGCTGAGTCATCTTCTTGTCTCTGCATACTGTCTTATAAATGTAGAAAAATGTACTTAGTCATTCTTTTATGAACTTCTTTACTCTAACCGTGTTACAGTGTCTGCAGTTATCTACTTGAGCAATGTATTTAGAAGACTTTACATAGTCACTGTAATTTATACTTAAATTTTGAATTATGGTTATGTTAGCTTCATATCTGCCAAGGATAGATTAGTTTGAGATATTCTTTTATGATTATATAGTTCTTGACTCAAGTTTTGGATATTTGTATTTTCCTAAATTATCGAAATCAATTTGCCAAATTATTAGTATATATAATGTAAAATAATTCATTTTTTGATTTTTTTTTAAAAGAAGACCTCTATATCTATAACATGCTCGCTCCCCTTGTTTCCAAGACAGTTTTTTCTTCTTCTCTTTCTCAGATTTGCAGTGTCCACTGTGTAGGTTTATCTATTCTATATAGCATAGCCCGGAAATTCACCCCTTGATATTTGAAGTAGCTACAAGCACTTTGCTAGAGTTAGTTATAGTAGGTTCCACATCCCCAACTCCTACTAATGTCATCCTGATCATATGTCACCTGTTTCTTCATCTGTAAGAAATAAACACAATACAGGTTAGGGTTAAAATCATTTGCAACTCAGTTCTCACAGGTGCTGGTTTCTCAGTAAATACCTGTCCCACAAAAGGTTGCAACTGCCCCTGTTCTAAAAGGAAAAAGAAAAAAAAAATTAGACTGGAACGAATAATTCCAACAGTGAAAAAGTCTGTTTGCAGCCCATCAGTTCACTCACCCCACAGTCAGATCAACCCACACCTCAACAACACACTAGAGATCACGCAGCCCTTCTCTTGAAGTAAATGTTCTAGATACTGTTGCAGATACAACGCTTACCTTTCAGAGGTTCACCTCCTCCGGGAAGAGATGATAACCAAATGCTGAGGTGGTTACAATGTCTGGTAGCGTCTAAGAAAGGCTTCGAGAAATCAGGTTTTGAGAGGAGTGTGCAAAAACAAACAAACCAAGGATGTGGTAGGAATCCTATCGCAGGTGTTTATTACTTACGGTGTATCCTCAAACAATTAACTTTGATGCTTCTTAAAATAAGCAGAATGTAAAAAACAAAAAACAAACAAACAAAAAACGGCCAAGGTTTAGTAACGGAACTATGAATACAAAGTTAGACTGGTCATAAAAACTCGAGAAATGTCAGTTATTACTATTTAAAAAGCTATGTCAAAGAAGATCAGTTTACCTCAAGAGACAAGGTACATGATCAGCAATTTTCCAAACGTGTTTGGGAAACATAACCATGGAGAGGGCAGAATAGTTTCTGGAGGGCAAACGACATATTCAGAGACAGAGAAATGTTAAAGTTTGCTTAGAGGGCCCCAACTCATTACTCTTGACGGGAGAACGCATGTGCACACAAAAATCGAACTGAGAAGTGCAAACAATTTGGACGAAGCTTACAGTCTCAGTAGCTAGCACAAAACTCGCTGACATTCCTAAAGCTGGAGTGGAATACGTTGAGCAACGTTGTTGGAAAGGTGTGGATCAGTTCAACATAATATCACAGTGAAAGAAACGTTGCATTTAAAGTAGAAGGACCGGAGTCGTCTTTTGAGACACCACTGCTGTTTTTAGAACTTACCCGCTGTTTGGCTTGAAGAAACTACTGGCATCTTGAGTGTCGACCTGTAAACAGGGGATGCCACCTAACGAGCGAACATCAAAGAACCCGACACCAAGCATGCACTCAACAATGGCGGGCTGTCCCTGCTATCGCCCCCTGTACGAATTTTTCTCTCTGAGAAGCCAGAGGGTAAAAATGGGTTTTCCTGCAAACCAATACTGAAATAGTACAGCCGGCTTGCCAAGGACGAGGAGGCCCGGCAGGCGCGGCACCCAGGTAGGCTACGCAAACCGCAGTACAGAGACCTCCACGTGGGGGCGAGATCCACGATAGAAAGTTCCAGAGCCAGGTCCCGGAGGGCTCTTGGGAGACCGAGCAAACCAAATCAAACCAAAGAATACAAAAACCCACCGAAAACGACTCGGTACTAGCGTCCCGCCACTTCCCGGAGGCTAAGCCTCGGAAAAAAAAGGTGAAAGGAAGGAAGGAAGGAAGCAGGAAGTGACGACAGCATAAAGGATACGGAAGTGACCGCACGCCGGAAGTGTACTCGTTTCCAAGGCGACGGCTCCGCCAGCTCTCTCTCCGGGCTGCAGGAACAGAGACGCTGGCCAACGGCTCCGAGCCGAGAGTTCCCGCGGAGGGCGGCCGCCGCTACAGCCACCCGCGGCTCCCGGAGACCGAAGACGGCGGCCTCCGCGCCGCCCGCCGGGCGTGTGCGACCCGCGTCCCGCACGGCTCCGGGGAGAGGGTGGTGGAAGAGCAGGGATCCTGTTGCCTCCACCCCAGAGAAGGAAGCCTCGAAGAAGGTGACCGCCGCTCCAGGACCTCCTCGGGAAGAGTCGGCGAGGACGGCGGCTTTTCCTGCAGGGACTCGAGAAGAGTCGGTGAAGACCTAGGCCAGCCCCGCAGTGTGGCTCAGGAGAGAGTCCGGGGATACGATGGCCCCCGGCCGAGCAGCCCATGGCTGGCCGTGAGAGGCGACTCGAGGGGAGCTGTCAGCGAAGACGCTTGCGTCGGCGTCCCCGAAGCCCGAGGGCCCCGAACCAGCGACTCGGGGGACCGAGGCAGTGACGACCGCAGCGGTTCGAGCGAAGGAGCAAGCGTCGATGGCAGTCACTGCCCCAGTAGTTCTTGGGGAGGCGTAAGTGATGACCCGAGCTACGAGACCAGCGACTCTTCCAGGGTGAGCATCAGCGGAGACGCCAGCCGTCGCCTCAGTGGCTTCTGGGAGAGAGAAAGCGAAGAAGATTCTCGCTTCAGGGGCTCTTGGCAGAGAAGGGAGGATCGGGGGCCCCGCGCCAGCCACGAGGAATCCAGTTGTTGTAGCAGCAGTGACCCATGCGTGGGAGCAAGTGAAGACCGACGCAGCAGCAGGGGCCTGGGCTCCACTCCTCCCCAGAGCCCAAGTCCGACGGCGAAGGACCATACCATGCCTGGTGTGGCCAATTCAGGTCCCTCCAAGTCCTCTAGGGAGACTGCAGACTCATGTGAGTCTTTTGTTGTCATCCCTTGTCTTGACCACAACACTTTTCCTACTTCAGAGACATCAACCTCAGCCCTTGCTGGCATGTTCACGCATCCTTTCCCCTTTATTTTCAACAGTTGCCTCTATTCCCTTATTTGAGCTTTCCTTATATCTATGTCAGGTGTCTGTCAGACATCTTACACAGATCAAACATCATTTGTGAAATATTACAGATTTTTGTAAGTTCTTTTCCGCGGCATTCGATACTGTGGAGATGACGAATTAGATCTACCTAGTTTTCTGATTTTCATTCTGTTGAAACTTCCTTTATGGCCGTTTCTTTTCCCTCCTCCTTTTTGCGAGGATGGGTGTTGTGTGGCAAAGCTTTTCCTGGGGATCCACAACACACATGTCTGCTCACTCCAGACAGGGCTCCCACAAGAGACCCAAGTGCTGGATAACACCAAACTCCAGCTTTGTGAACCAATGCGTTTTATTGGGGTTACATACAGGAATATGGGTGAGAAGTTACAGGAGCAGAAGGACTCCGAGACAGCTGCATCACCAAGGCTCCCCCAGCACGGGCGACTGTTCAGAAAAGCTGGGAAACTTGGAGAGCCCTGCACTTTCTGCAGGCAGCTCAGTAGGTTAGAGAGTATGGCTTCCCAGAGACTCTGGTCTGAACCCCTTCCAGGCTGCTGGTCCCAGAGTCTTGGCAGATTTTTCCTCTTAGAGTCTTTTTGCAGCTCAGATTGTCTGAGAATCTTCTTTGCGGCTCAGCTCCCTTCGATCTGAGAGGGACTCTCTGTTTAACAGGGAGAAGCCCAGTGAGTCTGGTCAGTTTTAGGGACTTCCTAAAATGATATAAAAAAAATTAAAGCTATTGTGAGTGGTGTACCTTCCTGCTTAAGGAGCTTCCTATAGGATGGAATCTTTCAATCTCTCACTCCTTTCTCCACTTCTTACATTTTTTCCGTACTCTCTTTCCCAGTGATCCCTGAACCTTGGGAGGGTGACTGTTAGATATCACCAGATTAAGAAAAAGGCTACTCTGCCAGAGTAACAGTTGCCTGTTCAGGAGCTTTACCAGCGGTTATGAGGCGAGGCTGACACCCACAATGATCTACGGGCACAAACATGTTTAGAGGACAATTTGGCAGGCACATCACATCCATCTAGAAAAACCAAAGATGTTGCTTCTCCTTTTGGACATGACCTGCCAAGCCACAGGTTTTGTCCTGGCTTACAGTACCAGACATGCACTCTCCCTTGGGGAATGGGCCTTCAATCCAGCTGGAAGGCTCTTGGTTTTGCCCATGATAACCGAACTGCTATTGCACAAGCAGGCACACCTTGCCTTAGATATCAGTATTTTAACATACAGGATTCTTACCCAAGCAGGAAGACAGGTAGCAGGTCTCTGTCAACAGTCTGCCTGGCCGCCTCTGGCACTATGAAAGCCAGCATCAGGGTGGGAGTTTTCAGTTCAGCCCAAGCTTCATTTCTCCACACCCAACAGTCAAAGCATGCACATGCAGTGCCTTGAGCAACGGGGTCTTCTCGGCTAGTTCTGGCAAACAGCCAATAGCAGTAGCAATAACCTTTATGGTTTTTAGAACCTCAGGGGCTTCCCTGGACAACTCCCTAGGAGGTTCCCTACCCCTGGCACTGGGGGTTTTATTTAATAATTTTATTGCTTCTGGAAATGCCCTTTCTCACCCATGTAGGGCATACCTTTTGGATTTAAACTCTGCAGCTGTTGTTCTAACAACCTATTTTTCCTTTTAATTCACTCAGCCCCAGTAGGATGGTAAGGTGGGTGGAAGTGCCATTGTACTGGTTGTCTCTCCAGTGGCTTTGTAAAATGTGCAGAGTTAGCACTACGTCTGTATAACAAAATTTTTCCAAGGGATGGGCAGGGCAAGGCAACCTCTGCCTCATACCAAAGATATGAAGCTCTGAAAGTCATGTGACCCCAGAAATTTGCAACTAAGAAGATATGTAAGTCAAACATAAACAAGGTCCATTACAGCATGGAAAGACCCCATCACTTGTACTAGTGTTCAATTGAACAATGTTTGGCACAACAGCATCAATAGGGAGAGCTACCTCACATAACTCTCTATAATAGGGAGAGCTACCTCACATAACTCTCTATAATAGGGAGAGCTACCTCACATAACTCTCTGTAATAGGGAGAGCTACCTCACATAACTCTCTGTAATAGGGAGAGCTACCTCACATAACTCTCTATAATTCTCAGTCATTCTCACGGAGCAGGCTAGCTTTTTTACAGACCACATCGGGCTCTTGAAATGCCTTGATCTCTACCCTCTCTAATTCTCTAATGATTTCTGTAACTTCATCATGGCCCCTGGGCAGTCCCCCTGGGTGTCTGGCCTCCACCACCCTCAAGAGTGGGCAAATTTCAGTGTTGCTGTCTGGCCTGACTACACATGACTGGCCTTCACTGTGTGCACTCTTAGGCAATACCCCCCCCACACAGAGTGTTATACCTGGCAATGTATCCACCCCCAGAATGTTCTCTTGCAGGGGAGAAATACACTCTGTATACTCATGGGAGGAATAACTCCCCACCCAAGAACTAGTTCAGTCCCTTTTCTCTGTATTGTCTTATTATCATATCTGTCTACTGTTGACCAAATCTCCCTTATGCTTTTGGAGGTTTCTGTGCATTAAGGTAAACTGAACTCTAGTATCCAACAAATCCCCCAAGTAATATGAACTTTACTGAGGGACCAGTAGATCCATAGCTCCACGTGAGGCCTCTGGTCATTACTCATGGTCCTCACTTGTAGGTAACCTTGGCCTCTCCATCAGAGGAGTGGCTTGGGTGGCTCACATTCTGAGACACCTTTTTCATAAGAGGTATTTGGGGACCTTCTGTACTTCCCTGCCTTTTGTTTTAACTCTTTGGTGGGCTGCTTGTCAGGCTTTGTTCAAGGCAGTGGTTCTCGGCTGTCCTAGTGTTGTGCCCCTTTCACACAGTTCCTCATGTTGTAGTGACCCACAACCATAAAATTATTTTTGTTTCTACTTCATAAGCATAATTGTCATGTAAGTGTCTGTGTTTTCCAATGGTCTTAGGTGATCCCTGTGAAAGGGGCATTAGACCTTTAAAGGGGTTGCGACCCATAGGTTGAGAACCACTGCTGTAAGGCCCTTCAAAGACTCACAAGTGTAGCAAGTTGACTTGTTATCAGTATTTTCCCTAGGAACTCTGGCTTGACACATCTGTCTTTCGGTGATCCAGACAGGACCCTGCCTGTTCACTCTTCTCACCTCCTCCTACACAGTGGTCTAGGTCGCCAGGTGCCAAAGCCTCTCCTTCAGAGAGATTCTGTCCCACCATGGGGCTCAGCAAAGCCACTACGTTCCGTTAGGATAAACATAGTTCTGTCTGGCCTAGAACTGAGGTCCATGCACGGCTTCTCTCATCCCTGCTTTCCTCAGTAGTGCCTGTGCGGACATTTCTGGGGACTTGAGATGGAGATAACCAAATGTTCCTAATGGCTCTGATAAGCCAGTCCGTTAGGGGTGATTTCCCTCGTACAGTCTCAGGCTATGCAGCCTTTTCCTTAGGGAGGGATAGGGAGTTATAGCTTTCAGGTTTTCTGCCTCCACAGTGGTCAGACTGATGGGTTCATGCCCATGTCCCACAATTCAGGCTCTTTCATTGCTTAAGCGTTTTCCCCAATTCCAGCATCTCAGGCACAGAATAAGTCCCGGTTACCATAGTTTCTTGCGCTGGACCATTATTAATGCCTCTATCTTCATGCTAGACTATAGATTTTCCCTTTTATTCTATTAGAGATTGAACCCATGCATTATCTTCTATTGCTTTTACCATCTTTTCCTCACTCTTGGAATGTCCCTGTGGGTTCCAAGTTCACAGAGCCCACGAAGGGCCTTTGAGCACAGATCTAGCTGGTACTCTTTTACTTACGGCTCCCAAACCTGAAGAGGCAAGCCAGCAGTTCTATCGCATCCTCTTGTGTATTTCTCTTACGTGCCAAATCAGAGCCCAACATGGAGGGTACTAGCTGCATCCCCTTTATCATTACAGTCACTCCTTTACGCAAACAAGTCCCTGCTTGGCCACCACCTCACAGAGGCCAGGCAACCTCTGCTGCTGCTGCTGCTGGCAATCTTGACCCTTGTGCTTGTGAGCTAATCTCAAACATTGCAAAATTCCCTCTAAACCTTTAGCTGTTATTTAGAGCATCTCCACATCCCTCATCAAGCAGCTTTGCTGCCCCATAGCACATAGACTAAGACTACAGCCCTCGGATTTCTCCCACAGACGCTCTCAATCCTGATGGCTCAGCCATAACTGCATGTCTCACTACCTATTGCAAGAACCATGTAACTGCTCTCATGGCATAAAGGCATACTGATACACACGTACAGGAAAGGACAACTCTCGGAATTTCCTCCAAGATGCTCACCTGCCCAGGCTTCTCAGCCTTAGTTGCATCCCTTGGTGCCCATAGCCAGGATCATGCACTCTCTTTTCTTCAACTCACCTTTGGTTCTCTTGTGTCCCTGTTCCGGTGCCGGTTCTTTGTAACTTGGCTTTTTGTTGTTGTTGTTGTTGGAGAGGGACTTCCCTTCATGGTGGGTTGTGACTGGGACATGTAAACTGAAATAAATCCTTTCCTTCCCAAGTTGCTTTAGCTTACAGTATTTTATCACAGTAATGGGAACCATAACTATGATACTGAGCCTGGGCAAGTCGTCAGAATTATCATTCAAGTGTAAGCTGAACTCAGTTCTATTTCTCTGTATATGCTCGTTTCTCTAGATTGAGAATGCCAGTTTTTCCTGAGATTTTAGTTGTCTGTTAGGATCAAGAAAGGCTAATCCCTCCCTCTCTGCCTCCCTCCCTCCCTCCTTCCCTCCCTCCCTCCCTCCCTCTCAGACAGAGTCTTATTAGCCTTGGCTGGTTTGGAACTCACTGTATAGACCAAACTGACTTCAAACTTGTAGAAATCTGCCTGCCTCTGTCTCCCAAGTGTTGGGATTAAAGGAACTCACCACCATGACTGTGTTTAATTTTTGATATAACCAACTCCTTTGTTGGAAGGATGGTGGGTCAGTAGCCATGCTGTATGTCTCAGAACTAGCACCTGAAGTCTGATTAAGATATACTTAGTTGGTTTCAATTTTTATTTTATGCAAACAGTGCTTAGTAAATAGGTCTTATTCTTGAGATGTATACCAGGGCAACTGGGATTTCTCATGTTTCAAGGTTATATACTTATATTGGCTATGATCTTTCCCTAGTAACAAAGCTGTCTGTCTTATCTAGCTCTAATACACATGCATATAGACATTTTTCTGTGAGCATGGCTGTTTGTATGATTTGGTTTTTCTTTAGTCTAGATTAATCTAAATTTTGTAGTAAATTATTCAGAACGCTAAAGTGATATGCTTTCTTTAGGTTCATTGCTGTAGTCTTTTTTTTTTTTTGCAGTTCTGTACAGTATGTAAAGAAATGTGAATTTTCCATAGGTTCCAGGAAGAAGGTGCATTTTGGTAGCATACACGATGCAGTGCGGGCTGGGGATGTTAAGCAGCTTTCAGACATAGTGGAGCGCGGCGCCAACCTTAATGAAGCAGACGTTCTCCATCAGTTCACCCCTCTACATTGGGCAGCACATTTTGGGAGTTTGGAGGTAAGAAACTCTTAAAGTGAAATAGTTGACAATGGTAGTTTTATAAGTTTAGTAGACAGGGGTGAGACTTCAAGGTGACACTCAAAGTAATCTTTTCAGTTCCATCTGTTACTTGAGTGCTTTTTAGGAGGGCTTCCTAACAAATTATCCCAAAGTGTAATGTTGTAAAGAAACCGTTTTTAATGCTCATGAGTGAACTAAGTCGCCGAATGGCAGTGGCAGCTTGTCTTTGCTCCATGGTGCTTGGGGCTTTTGTTAGAAGACTTGAAGACTTCACGGGGGATGTAGCTCAGTGGTAGAGTCCCTGCCCTGTGTTCGTGAGACCCTGTGTTCAGTCTCCAGTGCTGAGCTAGCGTGCTGAGGTTAGACTCCCCTGAGGTCTCGTTCACCCGGATTGCTAATGGTCCATGCTAGATGTTGACTGAGTGCTTTATTTCCAAGTGGGTGCTTTGCTGACTTCTCTCTGCTGGGGCTAGTTTGTGCTTCTTTACAATATGGTGGCTAGGTTCTAAAGACAAGCAGAGATGCTAACCTGTAGAGCATAATAATGACCCCATGTTCATGTTTTGCATACAATTTAAAGTTCCACAGAACACTTCTTAGGCATCATTCCTCTCCAGAAAGTTAAATATTGTACAGGTTTGGCATTTATTAAGCTCATCAATGTTTTAGGGAATTATTGTACATCGTATGCATTTGTTTTTGCCGCTGTACAGATACCACATTCTGTGTGTATCATCTCTCCATTTTGCTCCAACAATTCGCTAATCATGTGCTTTCATATATGTATTCTAGCCCATTTGTTTCAGTCTTATGGTAATGGCTCACTCTTAGAGTAATAGAATTTATTTACTTTCCATAATTTTTTGTTGATTTCAATTTTTAGTTTGTACAAACAATGCTAAGTGAATGTCTTCTACAGGACTTATTCTTGGGATCTGTTCAGGGGCAGCTGGAGTGTCTCATGTTTCAAGGTTGCATTGTCACTTAGCTCTGATCTTTCGCTGTCTGTGGCTCTAGTAGGTCCAGTTATAAATCTCTCTGCCTTATCTATCCCTAACGCATGCACACTTTTTTATATAACACATACAGACTTATTTTCCTTTTGAACATAACAGTTTGTATGGTTTGTTCGTTGTTTTAGACTGTTCTGCTTCATGTAAACAAATCTGAATAAATAATCTCCCTGTGTCAGCGTGGGCCTTGGCTGAAGTGACCAGGAGTTTCCCTTTGGTGTGCCAGTGGACCCCTCTCACGGGAGAGATGGGCGGAGAGACGGGCGCCTTGATTAGTCTCTGTGAGCTCTGTGTAACTGCAGGGGGCGGTGGGCCCTGCTCTTCCCTTCTGCAGTCTGGCAGATTTTTCATTTGTTTTGTGTTTGAATTATAGATAGTTCATCAAAAGTTGAATTTAATTTCCCTTCCTTTAATTTAATTTAATTGTCTTTAAAGTTAAAACAATAGCTTATTTACTTATATTTTAAACAGGGTCTCACTGTGTAGCCCTGCCTTGCCCAAAACTTCCTACGTAGACCAAGCTGGCCTCAGACTCACAAGATCTACCTGCTCCTGCATCCTGAGGGGTGGGGATAAGGGGTTAAAGTCCTGACATCAGACTGTTTTTGACGTTGACTTTCCTGGGTTGTTGGCTACTGAGGCTGGAAGTTTTCTCTACAATGTGCCTGAGCCTAGTGTTCACCTTGCTCCTCTCCTAATAAAATGTCCCTCTGGCAGGAAAATGCAGCTATATAACCAAGTAGATCTGTCCTATGAAGCTAGGGGTGGGGAAAGTTACACCCGCAGGCCACATCAGAAGCCATGTCCTTTTACTGAGATCCAGCAGTTTCTCTTTCTGTTTCCTTTAAAAATATTTTTATTTATCTGTGTGTATGCACGTGTGTGATAATGTGCACATGTGTGCATGTGCCTGCAGAGACCAGAAGAGGATGCCCGGTCTCCTGGAGTTGCAGGCTAGGCAGCTGTGAGCCACCCGACATGGGTACTGAGAATTGAGCTCAGGCCCTCTGAAAGAGCAGCCACTGCTCTTAAATGCTGAGCTGTCTCACCAGTGACTCCTTTAAAGATTTTATTGTACTTTCCTTTTCTTTTAAAGAGATAGGTTGTATCATAGCCCAGGCTGAGCTGTGTAGTAGAAGGCCTTGAACCTGCAATCTTCCTGCCTCCACCTGCTAAGTGCTGGGATTATAAATATAAAACTTGTAAGACTTATGTAAAAACAGGACAGAGGCCAGGCAGTGGTGGTGCACACCTTTAATCCCAGCACTCCTGGAGCAGAGGCAGGTGGATCTTTGTGAGTTCGAGGCCAGACTGGTCTACAAGAGTGAGTTCCAGGACAGGCCCCAAAACTACAGAGAAACCCTATCTCAAAAAATCAAAAACCAAAACCAAAATTTAAAAACCAAACAAACAAAAACCAAAAACCAAAATGAAAAACAAAAAACAAAAATGAGCAAATAAAAAAACCAAACAGGACAGAACCTTTGCAAATCATATACTTGACTAAAAATTATATCCAGTTTAAATAAAGAACACTTAGAACCGAAGAGTGAGAAAATAAATGTGCTAATGGGCGAACGTTAATAGACATTTTCTTAGAATGTGCGAATGGATGGCAATTGAGCCTTGTGAAAAGTTCAGCGTCATTAGCTGTTAGAGAAATCCAAATTAGAATTACAGTGAGAAGCTACCGGTGCATGAATGAGAAAGTAAGAAAGTCTCCAGATGACAGTACCTTGGCTAAGAATGCGGAGAACCAGAGACACTCATGCATTGCTGGGGAGAAGGTAAAATAAAATAGACACTCCAGCAGACATTTGGGTACTTTGTGATAATGTAAAACATGCGTTCTTCATATGCAACAGCAGTTTCATTACATATTTATCCAGAGAAGTGCTAAAGCAGCATCTGAGTGTGTGTGGGGGCTCTAATTTCGAGGTGCTAAGCATGCTAACACAGAGGGGTCTCTTCACACATATTTGTTGAGTGAATGAATGATGTGATGGTTAGTCAGGTTGAGCTGCTTGAAAGAAATGGGCCAGCAAGAGGGTTCAGCAAGTAAAGGTGCCTGTTGCCAAATGTGGCAGGCAGAGATGGAGCCCTGAAGCCCACGTGGTGGCAGGAAAGAGCTAGCTCCCACGCTTGTCCTTTGACTTTTGTATGGGGGCATGTGAGAACCAGGCAGACAAAATAATGAATAAATGGAATAAAAAAAAAAAACAAAAAAGAGAGTGGTGACCAAAACACCCACACTTTTCTAAATAAACATTTAAAAGATGACAAACATTTTTGCTGGTCATTAATTTTGGTGGTAGACAAATGATACCTAAATGATACTAACTCTTTTAGCAAATTACAGGTTATGAGTGGTGTAGAAATGAGACATGGACAGTCAATTCTGTTAAGAAGAAAGACGTTTCTTAGACGTAAAGGTGCAAAGATCAGTCTTTAAATATTAAACACCAGATGCCGCATAGACCTCCATGTGCAGTAGGAAAGCGAGATTTTGGTTAGTTTAAAAATGCTCAGGTTTCATTTCACTGGCTGCCCTTCCTTTTTAAAAGTTCCTATTATCTGTATTTTAGAGGTACTATCATAATAACAGTGTTTGTTTCCATACAGAAGTTTCTGGATCCATTTAAAGATTTGTAGTAGAAGTTAGGCATAGTGTTAGGGGCTAGCATGTCCTCCCAGCTACTCAGAAGAACGAGACAGGGAATCATTTGAATCCAGGAGTTCAAGTCTGTCTTGGAGAACATCGCAAGATCACAACTCTTAAAAAAAGGTTTATTTTAATTAGATGTGTGTGTGTGTGTGTGTGTGTGTGTACATGTGTGTGCAAGTGCATGTGAATGTAGTTGCTGTCTGAGGCCAGAAGAGAATCTTGGATTCTTCTGGAGATGCAGATAGAGGTAGTTGTGAGATACCGGACATTGGTGGTGGGAACTGAACTCCTGTTTCTAGGAAGAGCAACAAGTTCTCTTAACTGCTGAGCCATTTCTCGCTCTAGAAGAGAAGAAGAGAAAAGATAATAGCAATGGCAGACCGGCAGCTCTTGAGGAAACTCGGCTCACAGATTGGTTTTGCTTGACATGTACAATATTAGCCAAGTGGTATATTTATTGGGCTAGCATTTATTTCACTCACAGCAAGAAATGCCTATAATTTAGTATTAAGTGTACCTTGTAGGCGAGGAACACGACTCCCGTTTTGCAATAGTTTCTATTACTTTCTCGTACTCGACAGTGAAGCCAGATGTTGGTTGCCATGCCACTGTGTTTGTTATTTTGATTCTCTTCCTGGCCTTGGACTCATCTATGCTGTTTTTCATGCTACAGTGGGAGTCTCACGACAACAAACTAAATTTAGAAATTATGAGAACACTAAACGTGTCTACTGTACTATCCATTAATGCTATTATCCTCTTAGTGCCTTCACTGGCTACTCTGGCATGGTGCTGATACCACAAAGGAAACTCCAAGAGGATGGACCCCGGCTCACATAGCTGCAATCCGGGGTCAGGATGCCTGCATGCAGGTAATAATTTTGGTTACTGTTTTTTCTTTTTAATTGAGTTCAGTTACTTTATCATAATTCTGTTGGAGTCTTGCCATTATTCTATCTGATCCAACATATGCGGTTATACATTGTAAAAGAATGACAGATACCAGCTAACCACATGAATATGTTTAGTCTCTGAAGTACTTGGGTTGTCTTGAGTGAAGTCACAGTCGTGCCCAGAGTGTCTTCTTTGTAGTTCACGCTGTGGTGCAGATGTCTGTATTGGGCTAATATAAATCTTTTCAAAGCTTAACTCTCAAAGTGATGGGTGCTGCCTTGAGAAAGTAGGCAATAAAAGGAAAGAGAAAATGCAGTAGTAACTTTTGGGGAAGTTGGGTCAAGTGAAGCTTTACCCATTGTTCCTTTCAACAAGCATTAGCTCAAGCCGCTCCTCCCACCTTGATTCTCTTCTCTGCCCCACAGTGGCCTCTTCCTTCTTAGAGTTTTTATGGTGCATATTTTGGTACTATGTTGTGTGCTTGCTCTTCATCAAGGTCGTCTTTGTGTAGATGATTACCTGTCTCTACAAATGTCCTGATTCCCTAGGTTGATAAGTTTTATTATTATTGTTATGATCCTTAAAGCACAGTAAGTACTCAGCATATCATTTATGACTGTTATTGACTGGTTAGATTAGACAAGGTCATGAAGATTATTCTTTTTAAAGCCCTAGATAGGTATTATGACTGAGTAATCCTTTGCTAAGGTACCGATGAAGACTGGCTAATGCTGAGTGAGAAATAGCAATTAAAAACATTGACTAGGAGGGAGTGGTGTAGGTGCATGACACAATGCAGGTCAAGGTTCCATCTGGGTTCAATCCTCAGTGCCAAGAAAGAAAAAGGTACAAGATCATTTGTAAAAACAGATTTTAACTTGTGGAACTGTTGTAGGTTCAGCAACATTGAGCAGAAGGTACACAGATTTCAAATTGTTAGATTGTTTTCCCAGCCAGTGAGTCTCTGATGGTACAGCATAATCCTCTGACAGCCAGTTTGTACTGGGGTTCATGCCTGGTATTGTACAGACTGCGTTTGAGCAGATATATAACCACACAGTGCTTGACTTGTTTGCTTATTTTAGAGATGATGTCTTGATGTATAAGACAGGCTGGGCTTGAACTTGTGATCCTCCTGCCTCAGCCCCCCAAGTTCTAGGATTCTAGTCCCTAGCGCACCTGAATATCACTGCCTTTTTCATTCTTCTCTCATGTATTACACCCTGACTGCAGTTTCCCTTCCTCCCCACCCCAGTCTCTCCCGCTACCACACCCCCCTTCTCCAGATTGCCCCTACTCCCACTGTTAGGAGTCCCACAAGAACATGGAGCTACTTAGCCGTGATATATATGCAGAGGACCTAGGTCAGACTGCTAAAGCTCCCTGATCTCTTCAAGCCCCCCTGAGGCCTGGTCTGTTGATTCTGGATCATTATCTCCTTGTGTGAATGTTTGTCAGTCTCACCCATTCAAGGGCATCACTGTTTTCAGTCCCGGCGGTGCCAGGGAAGCTCACAAAGGTCCACAGTTAGATTTTCATCGAACACAAGTTTTCACTTTTGCTAGGTGTCTACCTCATACCAAGGGGCGTATGATTGTTGCTTAGGGTAAGATACGCTTTAGCCTCATAGGAGGTGCTGCCCTCCTGTCTTCCCAAGTACTCTGGTTCCTCGCCTTTGCTGGCTTTTGTGTAGTTAGTGTTCTGGATTTTGACCATTCTATTTGGTAGATGGTGGTATTTTACTGTTGTTTAAACTTGCATTTTTCTGGTGGCCTTTGATACATAGTGGCTTTTCATATGGTTATCTTCTCTGGTCAGTGTCTGCACTGAGCACTCTTTGTTAGTAGAGGAGACTGGTCTCAGGGTCTGCTGCAAGTTAAGAAATTTACCATCAAGTTACATAGCTCTGATCAATGTTAAAATTGATTTTTTTTCTTATTGTTTAGGAAATTTGTTTTGTATCTTGGGTAATAGTCCCTTATCGAATATGTCTTTAACAAATATTTTCTCTGTGTGTGAACTGTCTTTTTTATTCTCTTCCTAGTGTCTCTGTAGAGTAGTGGTGTTTAATTCCAGCGAAGCCTGCTTTATCAGCTCTTTCTTTCACGGTCTGTACATTTGGTATCTGAAAAACCATAGCCCATCCCACAGCCCCTCGTCATCTAGATTTTTCCTCTAGGGTTTTATAGTTTTGTATTTCCGATGTGTGATTCGGTTAATTTCTTTCTTTCCTTTTTTGAGACAGGGTCTCTCTACAGAGCCCTGGCTGTCCTGGAACTCACTATGTAGACCAGGCTGGCCTCAGACTCACGGAGCTCCTCTGCTCCGGCTTCCCAAATGCTGGGGTTAGAGGTGTGTGCCACCATACCTGGACAAGTTAATGTTTTTTCAATGTTTGTAAGGTTTGTGCTTAGTTCAGTATTTTCACATGTGAATACTCCATTGTTTGAGCACGTGTTGAAAAGACAATCTTCATTGTACTGCCTTTTCTCCTTTGTTAGTGGTGACTGTGTTTATGCGGATCTAGTTCCATGTGCTCTCTTCAGTTTCATTGCAATGTCTGTTTGTTCTTTGGTCAATGTCAATTTGTTTTGCTATTTGAAGTGAGTCTTGAAGTTGGATAGTGTCGGTCCTCCGACTTGGTTCTTCTCTTTTAATATTGTCTTGGTTATTCTGGTTCTTTTGCCTCTCTGTAAACTTTGAAATCTGTTTGTTGATATCCAGAAAGCACATCACTGGGCTTTGAATGGGACCGATAGGTTTGTGAAATTAATCCTCTGTCTGTTATGTAGGAAGAAATCCTATAGCCCATGACCTGTATGGTCATTGGCTCAGTTGCCCATTGAACGAAACCGTCTTAGAAGATTGACCAGGAATTAAGGTCTCACAGGCAATGCTAGAGACCTCAGCCCTATTTAGGGTCACCTAAGGAATGTACATATTTTGCCTGTAGGTCATACATAGTAGTTTTGTCATAGGTTAATTAATTGCTTACCTTTACTCTGTATCGGAATTTATCATTTAGCATGTGTACTCATGCACGCTCATTCCCATTTCTCTTTCTAGGCTCTTATAGTCAATGGCGCCAACCTGGCCGCTCGAGATGATCGCGGATGCACCCCTATGCACCTCGCTGCCACTCACGGACACTCTTTTACTTTACAGATAATGCTGCGAAGTGGAGTGGTGAGGAACTCTCTTACCTAGTGGTGGTGTGTGATCATGTAGGTGGACTAGAATTTGGTAGTCTGGTCATCTCGTCCTGACTCTTAAAATCCTTCCTATGACTTGGGGAAGTATTTTTTTTCCTTTACCTTTCCCGTTTTTAAACATGGATGCAGTAATTGATACTCATCTCCCAAATGAACAGTAATCCAAACTATTTCAGAGGTTTTGTGTTTGGTTGCTGGCTCAGAGCTTAATGGGAAAACTCTGAAGCTCTTAAACAGATCTTCACCAGGTAACTATGTCTTTATGAATTTGTGTATATCTATAAAATGCTTTTTTTAAAAAAAACCTTTATTTTGTACATCAGTTTAGGAAGTGATTGACTCTTCCAGGTTTTAATTTATTTATCCTCTGGTTATCATTTTTAAAAAATGTTTTTAAACTATGTGTATGTGTATATGACTACAGGAGCCGGCAGAGGCCAGAGACCTCAGATTCTCACAGATATCTCCCCGCCTATACTTCCTGCTTGGCCACTGACCAATCAGCATTTTATTAAACCAATACAAATGACAAGTCTTTGCAGGGTACAAGACCATTGTCCCACAGCAAGGTCCTCTCTGTGTTTAACTGCTGAGCCACCCCTCCAGTTCCATAATGTTTATTTTTGATAGTGCTCACTGGTTGTATAACTTTGTGAAGAGCAGAGCACCTACTGAGTATGATAGCTCCTGCCTGTAATCTCAGCATTTGGGAGGTTGAGACAAGAACAAGCCTGAGGCTAGCCTGGGCTACAATGTTTCAACATCTCTCCAAAGAGAGGGCTGAGGGAAGAAACACACTGTCAATAAGGAAAATATTATAGTAAGATTGTTTTCTAGGAAATAGAAACATGAAACACTTTTTCTTTTGGTTAATTCTTTATGTGGGCAGTGATGAGACGTCATTTAAAGCCAACTCTATCCTTTTGATTTTTGTAGAGTGGGACTGTGAGATAGTTCCTTTAGTTTCTTTGAAAGCATTGCTTCAGCCAGGCCGTGGTGGTGCATGCCTTTAATCCCAGCACTCGGGAGGCAAAGGCACGCAAATCTCTGGGAGTTCGAGGCCAGCCTGGTCTACAAGAGCTAGTTCCAGGACAGGTACTAAAGCTACAGAGAAACCCTGTCTTGAAAAAACCAATAAATAAATAAATAAATAAAAGCATTGCTTCTTGAGATTGTAGTTTTCTTTTTAAAATGCTGTTTTATCACAGTTCATTGAAACCTTCATTGCTTCTGTGTTCAGTTCTGTGGGTGCAGCCAAGGTTTTGTTAGATTGAATGTTTGCTGTTTAATTTTAAGAATAGCTTCTAATTTCCAGTTGCAGAATCAAGCTTCTAGACTTACTGCTTTTCTTACAAAATGGCAAGAAACTGAGCTCTTGCGAATTTCACCTCTAGGATCCCAGTATGGCTGACAAGAGAGAGTGGAGACCCGTGCATTATGCAGCTTTTCACGGGCGCCTGGGTTGTCTGCAGCTTCTGGTCAAATGGGGGTGTGGCATAGAAGATGTGGACTACAATGGGAACCTTCCAGGTATTGAGCTAAAGTGAACATTCTAGTTTTTCAGTGATAAAATTTTTAATATATTTAAACGCTTGATCATGTTTAAGAAATTTAAACTGTAGCTTCCACACGAAGTTAAAATAGTGATCAGCTGATACTCTTTACTGTCGTGCCTGTTTATACACCCATCATGATTTCTTTTCTAGAGCCAGTCAAGCAGTAGAGAAACTGGCTCCTTCTCTTTTGCCTCTCTCTCTTCTTTCCTTCTTCAGTATTCGTGTGGGATCCAGCAGAGGACCTTATATGTAAGTTGAGCAGGTGCCTGGTCACTGGGCTGTATCCCTAGGGTTTGTGCTTCCAACTATGTTACTATTTAGGTAGCAGAGAGGGCACGCATATGCATGAGCTGGTTTGTTAAAGTGCAGTTTAGGTTGAACTTGGAACACACTGGCCAGCTGACACATAGATTCTAACCCCCTTCTTCTTTATGAGGTGGTATTGGAATTCAGGTCACAGGTCACACTGAGAGAGGAGTAAACGTGAGTCTTGAGGGCTGTAGAGATGACTCAGCACTTAAAATCACTTTCTGTTCTTCCAGAGGTCTTAGTTTAATTCCCAGCATCTACCTCAGGTGGTTGACAACCGCTTGTATGTTCATCTCCAGGGGATCTGATACCCTGTACTCTGTGAGGTCACCTGCACTTAGCTGTGCATATATCCACACATACACTTACAGGCATACACATGATTTTAAGTAAAGATCCTTGAATTATATCTTAAAGGAATTGGAAACACTCCTGCGAAGGGGAAATCTAGGCAGGTAATAGGAACAAGCCTGATCCAATTGCTTTGCTGTTTAGAACATGTCTGGATGCCTGTGGATCCATGACTTTTTTTTTTTTTTTTTTTTGCCTTGGTCTGCTGGATGCTGTCTTCTCCCTCCTCTCTTGTCTGTCTTCAGACCTTTACACTACTACTTGAGATAGATGGCTTTCTTTATGAAGTATACTTTTAGCATTTTTTTGTGAAGACTTGTTGGTTGGTATGAATGTATTTTTTGTTTGTTTGTTTTTTTCAAGACAGGGTTTCTCTGTAGCTTTGGAGCCTGTCCTGGAACTTACTCTTGTAGACCAGATTGACCTCAAACTCAGAGATTTGCTTGCCTCTGCCTCCCTAGCTGAATGTATTTTTTTTATATATGAAAGTAATCATACTTTTCTCTTATCCTTTTTATTTGTTTTTCTCTTTAATATATTTTTATTGTTTTTATTGAGCTATATATTTTTCTCTGCTTCCCTCCCTTCCTCTACCCTCTCCCATAGTCCCTATGCTTCCAATGTACGCAGGAGATCTTGTCTTTTTCTACTTCCCATATACATTAGATTCCACGTATGTCTCTCTTAGGGTCCTCTTTTTTGTCTCTCATCCTTTTTAAACTTACTCTTTTACTCACATCTCTGTCTTTGTTTCTCTCTGCCTCTCGTCCTCTCTCTCTCTCTCTCTCTCTCTCTCTCTCTCTCCCTTTCTCTCCCTCTCACTCTCTCTTTCTGTGTGTGTGTGTGTTCTGCTTGGGACTGAGTTCAGAACCTAGCATGTAATCTCTACCACTGAGATACATTCCAACTCCCCCCCCAATTTATTTTATGTGTATGAATGGACCATCTGTATGTATGCCTACTTACCAGAAGAGGACATCAGATTCCATTCCAGATGGTTGTGAGCCACCATGTGGTTGCTGGGAATTGGACTCAGAACCTCTGGAAGATGGCTCAGCAGTAAGAACACTTACTACTCTTGTGGAGGACCTGAGTTTAGGTCCTAGCTCATATGTTGGGCAGACATAATTGCCTGAAACTCCAGCTGGATATTACTACACAGAGACATGCACACATACAAATAATTTTTAAAATCTTAAACATATAGAAATGTAGCATGAATAATAAAAACCCGGAGACAGATATTGGGGTTCAACCTGAAGATCACAAAAGCAAAGCTGCCAGCCACTGGTTCTTACCTCTTTCTCAGACTAAAAATGGGCGATCCTGCCTCCATGAGCTGAGACTGAACTGAGACCTATCTCCTTTCATTTTATATTCCTCTCTCTCCTCTCTTTGTTTTTTTTTTTTTTTTTTTTTTTTTCGAGACAGGGTTTCTCTGTATCTTTTTTGTAGACCAGGCTGGTCTCGAACTCACAGAGATCCGCCTGCCTCTACCTCCTGGGTGCTGGGATTAAAGGTGTGTGCCACCACCGCCTGGCCTGTATGGCTGACTGGTGTGGCTCCTAGGATTAAAGGTGTGTGCCACCACTGCCTGGCCTCTAGGGCTAACTAGTGTAGCTGCTGGGGTTAGAGGTGTGTGCCACCTTTAATCTGTATGGCTAGATGGCTAACAAGTCTGACTTGCACTGACCTTCAGGCAAGCTTTATTTATTAAAACACAAATACTATACCATTATATAGAAATACATGAATATAATTTAAATCAATATAATTAAGGCATTATAAATATTTATAAAGCTATGAACTCAGAAGGCAGAAGGACAACTGTTGGGGATTGAGCAACAAGACAGGGAAATGGGAGTGAGTGTATCAGCAGTTTACAGTAATCCTCATGAAAATGCTTCTGTGACATCCGCTATTTTAATGATCAAAAAGTGATAATGAAGGCCGTATGCAAATGTGGAAGAAAACATTTTAGTAGCTCACTTTGTTAACACTGGCCATACCAGTGTTTTAATTTTGGTCATTCTGTTGGATTATTTATTGGCTCTCTTACGGGTTTTGTGTTTCCTCATGACTGACAGTTCGCATGATTTTATATCTGTGTTCAATGACTGCAGATCACATTCTGATGTGAAGTAGCAGTCCAGACATCTTCCTGTGTTCACGTCACATCTGTGTTCCATGTCTGCAGGTTATCATTGGTTGTGAAGTGCCAGTCCAGACATCTTCCTATGTTCTTGTTCTTCTTGTTCTTCCTGAGATGCACAGGTTCTTTGTAGAGTCCAGATGGAAGCCTTTCTCAGCTTCCTACACTTCACATTCCTCTTCCAGGCTCTGAACTGCCGTTTTGCTCTCCTGAGACATCCTTTAGGGAGCAGTCATTTACTCTCACTGTTGTCTGGTTTAATAATATCTTCTCTTTGTAGTTTTTGTATTTGCACTTTTTATATTTGCTTCAAAAATGCTCAGCATATTCTATATCATAGAGATATTCTTTACATTTGAGAAATTTCATTATTTTACTTTTATTTTTTTTCTTTTTAATAATGACTTTTAGAAAGGATTTCCCTCTGGAATTTTTAAAAATTTATTTAGTTTTATGTGCATTGGTGTGAAGGTGTTAGATCCCCTGGAACTGGAGTTACAGACAATTGTGAGCTGCCATGTGGTTGCTGGAAATTGAACACCAGTGCACATAAAAGACAAATAAATAATTTAAAAAAGATGTAGACAACAATGTCAGGAAAGTGTGAGGGAAGAGCTTTGAAAACATATGTGGTGTGTAAGTGGTCAGCAGGGTTATTTTCAGAAGGGACCTTTTGGTAGGGCTGCAGGATGACCCAGGATGGCATGGTGTGAGCCTACAAGCTATTGTCTGGACGTAAGGGCTTCTCTTTGCAACACAATGGCCACTTGAACACTGCCTTGCTTTCCTTTAGGCATAGTTTGCCCAAATACTACGCTTTTCCTTGGTCTCTGGAGTCCCTTTGTAACTGTTTTGGTTTTTTTCTCTCTCGTCCCAAAAGGTTTGGTTATGACTGCTTTTGAATCTGATCCAGTACTTTTAATAATTCTTTGAATTTTCTTGTCTGTTCATACCTTTCTTTTATAGCATTTAGAAATGATTTGTGTTGTTTTATTATCAAGGAGTTAGTGTGGAAACAGTGAATTCGCTAATGTGTGCTTAGTATGCAGCCTTTTCTCTTTTTGTAACAGGGTCTTATTGTCTCAAAGTCATGCTGGCTTTGAACTTGGACTCTTGAAATCCCTCTCAATGCTGGGATTGCAGTCCTGTGCCTCCATGACTGGCTAGTGTGGAGTTCTAACTTAAGTTTCTGTATTAATTAATTAATTATAAAGATTAATTAATTATCAGAAGGTGACAAATATAGCTCTTTTTTTGCTTTTCTTCCTTCCTTCTTTCCTTCCTTCCTTCCTTCCTTCCTTCCATCCATCCTTCCTTTCTTTCTTTTTTGCCTTTCAGAGTCAGGGTCTTTGTTCTCATACAGAGACATGAGACTTGGGTCTTATGCAGCTATGGCTGTCCTGTGTAGACCAGGCTGGCCTACAGCTCACAGAGATCCAACTGCCTCTGCTTCTCAATTTCTGTGCAAAATTACCACTGACTAAAGTTACTTCCAAAATATTTTTAGACAGTGTCTCTCTGTGCAGTCACAGGCTGGCCGGGAACTCACTACATAGCCCAAGATGACCTGGAAATTAGCAACCTTTTTGCCTTTCCCATTAGGAGTTTCCATTTCCCATTAGGAGTTTCCATTTCCCATTGGGAGCCCCGACACCCAGCTTTTTGAGGTATCATATTATGATTTTGGGTTTAATGCCACTTGTTTTGGCCTCTCTACAGTTCACTTAGCTGCCATGGAAGGCCACCTTCATTGTTTTAAATTCCTACTGAGTCGAATGACCCGTGGAACAGAAGCTTTAAAAGCCTTCAACGACAATGGAGAAAACGTATTGGACCTAGCCCAGCGCTTCTTGAAGCAGAACATTTTACAATTTATCCAGGGGGCTGAGTATGAAGGAAGCAATCCAGATGATCAGGACAGTAAGTAATTAACCCCATGTTTTAGCAGAGAATGATAGTATTAAATGGAACCCAAAGACAAAGAATTTGTATGCAAATATTACATCAAAATCTATAGATTGCTCTGCAAATGCATCCAGACAGTAGCATAAAGAACCCTACATGACTGTGATGGCTAGTTTTATGTCAGCTTGACATAAGCGTGAGTCATTAGACAGGAGGGAGCCTCCACTGAGAAAATGCCTCCATCAAATCTGACTGTAGGTAAGCCTGCAAGGCATTTTTTTTAAAATTAGTGATCCACCCAGCCATATGGCTTCTTGTTTGTACGACTTCCAGGCCTCCAGGAGAGGAAGTGATGAAGCAGGAGGAGACAAGATCTCCTCTCTGTGGCTGGGAAGGTGAGTAGGTAGAGTGACTGTGGTTTGCTCCTCTGTCTCTCTGATCTCTCAGCATTTCTCCTTATATTCGACCCTTGGCTGTAGTGAAGAGCTGCAGGCAGGCCTGCTTTTCATCCTGCCTGGCTCCCGCATGGCTAGCTTAGCCCCAGAAATAACAACATACAACTTGTATTCATTTAAACACTGCTTGGTCCATTATCTCTAGAGAGTTAGTTACTGGCTAACTCTCACATCTTGATTAACCCATTTCTAATAATCTGTGTAGCACCATGAGGTGGTGGCTTACTGGGAAAGATTCAGCATGTCTGAACTGGTGGCTGGCTCCATGGCGTCTGCCCCATTGCCCTCTTCCCAGCATTCTGTTCTGTTTACTCTGCCTACCTAATTTTCTGTCCTGTCAGAGGGCCAAGGCAGTCTCTTTATTAACCAATGAAAATAACATATAACAGAAGGCCCATCTACATCATTTCCCCTTTTTCTATTTAAACAAAAACGAAAGGCTTTCACTTTAATATAGTAAAATTACATATAACAAAACAGTTATCAAGAATTACAGTTACAATATTTATATCTATTGTATCTTTATCATAATAACGGAAAAGTATAATTATAACTAACCATTCTTCAACTCCATCAAAGACTCCAGAAGGATATAATATTACCTAAGTAAACAAGAAGTAAGCAACTTCCAAAACTCTAGAAATGACAGAGACATCTTGCTGCCTGGACAGTCACCCAAAGTTCCTCTGTATTGTTGGGGCATCCATCTTTGGCCTTCAGGCCCATAATATCCAGGGACATTTCCATGAAGCAGGAAATTTCAAAGGCAGTTCAGTTACTATCTGCTGTGTCCTGCAGAATGTCTCGCAGACTCTTTCATGAATCAGGAACCCTGAAAGATCATCTCACCTTTAGGCAAGTTCAGCAGTCCTCTCTCTGCTGGTTCTCTGTGTCCAGTTTATACAACAGTCCAGGCAAGAGCAGTTTCTTGCCCAAATGGCTAACCAACTCCATAAGGAGCCTCTTCGATGCCCATCTTCCTCTTGAAGTAGATTGGTGCTGCCAGGAGCAGACGTGTCTCATTGTCATGAAAAGTCCTAAGTTATTAAAACATTAAATGCCATGTTCTGTAGTCTTTGAAAGATATGAAAAATGCATATCTGAAATATATCTATGCACCTCTAGAAAACCAAACTAACATTATTACAAGCTTGACTATTATTGATAATTATCCATTAACAACCTATATTTTCTAATTATACATTACATTTTTAAAATGAACTACACAATCACAATACATCAATCAAGATCAGAAATATATATACATATAACAAAATTGACCTTAAAATCCATAACAAAGCAAATTATTCATATCTATATCATATCCCCCTTTAAATGTAAAAGAACATTTATAAACAATATCTGGGAATATGGACGTAGTTATTTCTCTTCAAACTTCTTCCTGCTGTATAGGGGCGCTGTTAATCAGGTCTTTCACAGTAAACCTGTTTGCTAGCTTCATCTCAGTTGACAGTTGAATGAAGTAATTTTTTTGAGGGTGTTCACAGCAACCTTTCAGGAGGGCGTGGTCTATCATACCATATTGGGATAGAAGCAATCCGCAGGGTCTCATCCTCTTTGAAAACAAAAGAAGAACTTCCTTTCCAAAGTATCATATCCTTAGATCCAAATTCTGAAGTCAAGGTATTTTCAAAATATCTATCTTGGATTAGTTCAGCAGCATTTATAAACAAATATCTTTTAGCAGCTGTTGCTCCTTCCTCAGCATTCAAACAATTCAAAGAGAGCAGAATAGCATACAGTATCAAGATTCTCTGTGTATTTTCCATCTTTCCATGTGGCTTTATTTTAACCTCTATTTCTTTTATTTTTACTTTTGCTTTTTGAGACAGGTTCTCTGTATATCTTTGTCCTGGGATAACTCTGTAGACCAGGCTGTCCTTGAACTCACAGAGATCTGTCTGTCTCTGCCTCCCCAGTGCTGGGATTAAAGGTGTGTGCTACCACACCTTGAACTCAGAGATCTGTATGTCTCTGCCTCCCAGGCATTGAGATTAAAGGTGTATACCACCACACCCTGAAGTCACAGAGGTCAATCGACCTCTGCCTCCCAAGTGTTGGGATTAAAGGTGTGTACTACCACACCCAACTACTTTCTTTCTTCCTTTTTTACTTTAAGAACTTTAACTTTTATCCTGCATATATTTTTAACACACTGTAAAACATTTAGAGGTTTTCTTCATCTTTGAATCTTTCTTTACCATATCTCTCTCTTTTTCTGACCACATGAGCCTTTAATTTACAAAGCAATATAGAAAGCCATGGCTTTGACGGCTAGATCCAGCCCATTCCTTAGCTTTCCAGCCTCATGGCAGAGATACTGCTGGAACCATATTTATTGCCACAACTCTATGACGTTTCAAGGTCCCTGCCAGCAAGCAAGCTGTAGCATTCTGCTCACAGACCACATTCAAATCCTCCATAGTCGGACTGCCTGCCTGAAAGAGGCAGAGTTTGCCCTGGCAGGATGGCCCAGAAAGCCAGCATTTTAAAACGGCACAGCTTTTTACTGCTACGGCTGAAAACCGAAAAGCATGCCTTCAGCTTTTCCTCAACACCGTTTAAGTGTTTTGTGGCAGGACCTCTTAAAGGAGCTACAAAGTTTTGCAGCTAACGCTGAGTCAGGAAGCCTCTCTTAGATGAAAGCATTTACTTGCCTCTAACAAGCAGAGCAGACCTGAGAAATTGCTGCTACCAAGAAAACATGTTTTACTCTATTCTTTCCCAAACTTTCTCAGGCTTTCTGTGGATTCAGTTATCCACGTGGGTGCCATTTGTAGTGAAGAGCTGCGGGCAAGCCTGCTTTTCATCCTGCGTGGCTCCCGCATGGCTAGCTTAGCCCCGGAAATAACAGCATACAAATTGTATTCATTTAAACACTGCTTGGTCCATTATCTCTAGAGAGTTAGTTACTGGCTAACTCTCACATCTTGATTAACCCATTTCTAATAATCTGTGTAGCACCACGAGGTGGTGGCTTACCAGGAAAGATTCAGCATGTCTGAACTGGTGGCTGGCTCCATGGCGTCTGCCCCATTGCCCTCTTCCCAGCATTCTGTTCTGTTTACTCTGCCTACCTAATTTTCTGTCCTATCAGAGGGCCAAGGCAGTCTCTTTATTAACCAATGAAAATAACACATAACAGAAGGCCCATCTACATCACTTGGCTTTTAGACCTATTAGAGCTCGTGCTACAAGTAACCCTCACTAAGACAGTGGCATTGAACATTGAAAGATCCTCAGAGAGGAGTCTATCGGGGAGTTCTCCACCCAAGAACCAGAACCAATCCACTAGATGCAAAAGCATGAGGTAGTTTATTGGGTACACAGGCACCTGTGGATGCTACAGCAACCAAGTTACTGAGCATGCCAGGGGGTGGGGTACTCCCTCTCCTCGTGTACTGAGTCATTTTGAGAATCCGTACGTGTTATGTGTATTTGTAGTTTATTTCTTTTTATTGCTATGTCGCATTCTATGAAGAATTGAGTGGAGGTGAGCATTTGGATTGCTTTCAGTTTGGGATTTATCTATCAATAAGAGTAGCTATTATGTTTACATAATAGACTGTGATTCTTAACCTTTCTGATGCTGCAACCCTTTGTTACAGTTCCCCTAGCCATAAAATTATTTTTATTGCTACTTCATAACTGTAATTTTGCTACTGTTTTGAATCATAATGTAAACATTGGATATACAGGGTATCTAATATGTGACCTCAAAGAGGTCAGAATCCACAGGTTGAGAACCACTGGCATAGCTATCTATTTCTATCCCTCTTTGGTAAGTACTTAGGAGTAAAACATATGATGGGCACATATCTAACTTTAGATATATCTTAGGAGCTACTTTTCAAACTCTTTTCCAAAGTGTCCTAGATCCTTGTCAACACAGGTCATCATCAGTCTGTTCTGTTGTAGCCATTTTAATGGTGTGTGATGTTTGTTTGAGCATCTTCTGGGTTGGCCATTCATATCACTCCAGTAGTGAAATGTCTTCTTAGTTTCTGACATCTTAATGATAAGACTTTTCTAATTTTTGGATGCTTGAGATGTTTTGCAGATTCTGGACATTACCTGTTGGGTGTGAATTGCATACATCCCCCCCCCCAGCCGTTTTGCTTTCAAAGAGCAAAAACTTTAAATTTTATTTAGTTATAATTTGTAATTTTCTGTTTTAGTTAGTGAAGTACATTTAGTAGTATTGTATTCTATAATTCTTTTTGTCAGTATGTCAGTTGAACTCACCTGAGTAGCGTCATACTTAAAATAATATTGAAATCTGAATTATATGACAGCTTGAGGTAGGGAAAAGAACAAATCCCTGTGTTTACTAAAATGCTGACTTCTTGTTTAGATTTAGCGTTTCCAGGTCATGTGGCTGCCTTTAAGGGTGATTTAGAAGTGCTTAAGAAATTGATCGGGGATGGAGTAATCAACTTGAATGAGCGTGACGATAATGGATCGACCCCTATGCACAAAGGTGAGCTTGCTCCGTCTTTACAGTTTCTCGTGAGTTATTCAGTGTTTAAAGCAGTTACCGATCAGAATTCTTCCCTAGTGGATATTAGCAAGTGGTATGTGAATGTACAGTGCCTGATTCCTAATTCAAGTGCCCTTTATGAGGCTAGATTGTATACCTGTGAGGGTAATGCCAATCAGGTTTCTTGGTGACATTGCTCTTACGGTAACGCATTAAATACACTGCCAAGGAAACTTTTTACAACAATATTTTTTAAAGATTTATATTATTTATTTTTTTGGTTTTTCAAGACCAAATGCCCTGCTCTTTTTCCTTTCTTTAAAAAATACTCATTTTATTTATTTAATGTCTATGAGTGTTTGCCTGCTTGTATGGATATACACCATGTGCAGGCCTGGTACCTGAACAAACTCGAAGAGGGCATCAGATCCTGATACTGGAGTTACAGATGGTTGTGAGCTGCCATGTGGTGCTGGGAGCCGCACTCAGGTCTCCTGTTAGAGCAAGTGCTCCTAATGGCCGAGCTCTCCTTCTGGCTCAGAATATTTGCCTTATATTCTATTTTAGATAAATTATTTATCCTTCCTCTTTCCTGTGTATTGCCTGTGATAGAAGTGTCAGGCTAAGCTAATTATTTTCAACCATACCATTATTCATGATCATAAATAATATTTTTTAATATATTTATTTATTTATTATGTATACAATATTCTGCAGGCCAGAAGAAGGCACCTCATTACAGATGGTTGTGAGCCACCATGTGGTTGCCGGGAATTGAACTCAGGACCTTTGGAAGAGCAGGCAATGCTCTTAACCACTGAGCCATCTCTCCAGCCCCCCATAAATAATATTTTTGATCACACTTAAGAACAGAATATGTTACTGTATTTGTTTAACGGGTATCATAGAGCTTTAGCCAATTCTGTAGCATTTTTTTTTGTCAGCTGGTTCTGGGTAGAAGAGAGAGAAAGGAGGAAAAGGAGTAGGAATTGGGGGGAACAGAACAAGTTGCTAAAGACCAAAGTGGTGCTGTGTTTATGGGCCTTAGTAACTATCATATATTTATGACACTTAATAGTACCTATCTCCCAGCAAATTCATTGAGTATTGAGACCCTGTCTGTCTGTCTGTCTACCTACGCTACAGTATGTTTGTGTGTGTGTGTGTGGGGGGGTGTCAGTGATACTGTTCAGTGGGTAAAGGTGCTTGCTGCCAAACCTGCTGATGTGAGTTTGACCCCAGAATCTACATGATGGATGCACCTGGAAGTTGTTCTTTGCCCTCCACTTTGGCACTGTTCATGCATAAATGTGTGCAGGTACAGACACAAAGTAAATAAAAAGATGTTAAATTTTTGAGAAAAGATTTGTTTTGTGTGTGATTTTCATGTGCGGTAAGTAGGCATAGAACAAGATTTTGATGTCCCTGAGGCCCTTGTGGTTGGAATGTACAATGTTGTTTGGTGTGTGGCACGAGACTTCTTAGGAGTTATGCAGTTTGACATAGCACTTGGGTAGGGGTAGAAAGACTGGATCCTAGTTTTAAATCTGTGACTTGCTTGTTTGAACTTTGAGCTCCGATTTTTATAACTGTACCCAAAATTATTTGGATAGGACCTGAACACAATAGATATTTGATATTGTCTAATAAATGTACAAGTGAAAAAGAAAATATTTGCAAGCCTACTTTTATTAGTTACTACGATATCAAAAATTCAGAAAGCTGTTTCCAATAACCTCTTTCTCTATATGTGTTACGTGTTTTCTTGTTTTTTCTTTTTAAAAAGCTGCTGGACAAGGCCACCTAGAGTGTTTGCAGTGGTTAATTGAGATGGGAGCCAACAGTAATATTACCAACAAGGCAGGAGAGAGACCCAGCGATGTGGCTAAGAGGTATAAACTCCTGTCTGCTGTGCTCCTGACTTGTACTTTAAAGCTGTGCATTTGCTTTCCTGTGTTTTGAAATTTCTGATATTTTAATACAAGGTTGGGGGACTCAATAAGATGCTGATGGAATCACAGTTTTTAAGTTGATCTGCGTTCCTTAAAGCAATTATTATCAGTTGTATGGTCATGTATGTTCTCTCTCCTCTGGGAAGGGGACATTTAGAAATAAGTGCAAAAAGTCATGAATGTCGACCACATAAGGAGGTCAGGTTCAGGAATCCTAAGCATTCTGCAGTACTCTAATAGTGTGCACAATGCATTCTTTCATCCAGATATCCTTGATACCTTGTTGAGAAACACTGGCAAAAAGCAAAACTCACAGTGATAATAGAGAAGTAATTCTAAGGGGTTTAAACCATATTTCGAAATTTACATGAGAAATGAATGTAGCCTTATCATGAAACTCTGTGAGCTCCTTCAGGTCAGGCCCTCGAGGAATAGTTAGTTCCGATCTGTGTTCTCATTTGGTTGTTTATTCAGTGGGTCTTGTCTAGTTACTATGGTCCAGGCACTGTGACCAGAAGTCAGACTGTAAATATAGGAATACACAGTATCTGCCAACCAGGAGCTTGTGGTCGTGGGAGCCCTAGAAGCTTATAATTCAAAGAAAATGAATATACAAGCAAAAGTCCTTAATAATTATAATCATTGTCCCACCCATATTACATGGTATCTATAAATAAGGAAAACCCCCAACTCTTTCTGTTCGTCAATAGTGTGGGTTTGGAAATGGTACAGATGACAGTAAAAGATGTAAAAGAAATCACAGCCGATAGAATTTGGATGGTTGTCAAGAACATTTTCTGAAGAAGCAGTGTTTATATTGATATTTGGAGAAGACGCTGTAACATAGCCTTTTGCATTTTAGTTGTTAAGAACTGCTTGAACTTATATCATGAGTATGGGCTACAATGATCCATGAGGCTTGATTTGATGTTTGGCTGGGCCCAGTCACTCACTTAACTTCATAGGTAGCTCAGGATTCCCATCAACTTGCATTCCTGTCTTAGCCTTCCTGGTACTGGCATTAGAGGTTTATGCCACACTATCCTTAGTTTGGATTGTTTTCTTTTTGTTAGTTTAAAGGACTCTTTATATATTCTAGATACTAGTTCTTTCTCAGAAAATATCCTTTGTAAGATTTTTGTCTCACTTGTAAGATGTTTTTCATACCCTTAAAATATCTTTGGAAGTAAGTCTCATCAAAATTTTCCTTTTTTGAATTGTGCTTTTAGTGTTAGATCTTGAAAAAAAAATTTTGACTCTATATTTTCTTCTAGAAGTTGTATAGTTTTAGGTTGTGATGTCCATGGTTCGCTGTGATTTCCTTTTCTGTGTTATATTAGGTGTAAATCCAAGTTCATCCTTTTGCATATGGATATCAATTATAATATTATTTGTTGAAAATGTTATATTTTCTTCATTCTTTTGTGACTTTGTCAAAAACAACTTTATTTGCTTGTTTGAGACAGGGTCTTTCTCCCATATTCCAGGCTGGCTTTAAGTTGCCATATACCCCAAACTGGTCTGTAGTCTTCCTGTATCAAGTTCCTATGTGCTGGGATTGTGGACATGTGCCATCATATACCTAAGCTAATACTTAAACATAGTAAAATACAAAAAATAAAATAAGAAATATATCCCCAAGAAGAATAAAAAGGGACAAATAAAGTAATTTATAGGGTAAATTAGGATATTAAAATTTAATTCAGGTAAAATATTAATAAAATATTAATAAAATGAGGAATAAGAATAAGGGAAAAGCAGCAGGAAGATAGGCAAGAGAGGAAAGGTGTGTGTAATTGAGGTTTGGGAAGTAACAGGGAAAAGAAAATAAAGCAATTAAAAAAACAAAGACGGGCACAGCAGACACGCCCACTGTTCTAAAGGCAAGCGTGGGGAGCGTGTATAGAGCTCGGGCCCAGCTGCTCTGTTCTATGTGGTGAGCTCCAGGTCAGCCAGGGCTGCACAGTGGGACTCTGTCTGTAGTTTTTTTTCTTCCCCCACTCTTTGGGAGCCCATCACCCAGCTCCCAAATAAATACAGAGACTTTTTCTTGCTTATGAATGCCTGGTCTTAGCTTGGCTTGTTTCTAGCCAGCTTTTCTAATTTAAATGATCCCGTTTCTCTTCTCCATTTTGCTTCTGGGAATTTTACCTTTATTTATTCTGTATGTCTGTCTTTCCTTATTACTCCATGGCTGGTTGTGTAGCTGGATGGCTGGCACCTGGTGTTTTCTCTTCTCCTTTTCTTGCTCCTCCCTCTCCTGTTCCCCAGAGTCTAGATTTCTCCTCCTCTTTATTCTCTCTGCCTGGCAGCCTCACTTACCTGTTGTTCTCTCTTGCCTTGCTATTCGATGTTCACCTGTTTGTTAGACCAATCAGGTATTTTAGACAGTTTTATGGGGGTTTTAAAATGCAACATAAAAGAATGCAACACATCTTTGCATCATTAAACAAATATTCCACAGTATAAACGAATGTAACACTTCTTAAACTGATATTCCACAACACCTGTCTCTAAACAGAAAGGAAGACGAAAAGAAACCAAACCAAACCCAAGTGGCTATCCTTAGTTCCTTCTTGTAAGCAGATGGGAGAAACTTGCCATTTTTCTGCGCTCCCCCCACCCCCACCCCTCCTGCCCAAGCTGCATCTTTTGACATGTACTGGGTTTGGGGAGGTGGGCAGCAAGTAGTTTTTCTCTCTATTCCAAACAGGTTGAACCTGAAAGAAACGTATGGAGCCCTTCTGAGCCTTTCTGAGCAGGGCAAGAGCTAGGACAGTGACCGCCACTGACAGTGTTTGCACTATTTGTCCCTGGAGCTCTGAGAGTGGAGACGGTGATCAGACCCACACAGTCTGCACCAAGGGTGTGATGTGTGGGCACCGAGTAAGCCTGTCTGCTCTGGCAGTGCCAGCCTGTGGTCTAATCCCTGCTTAGAGCCACCGACTGCTCGTTTCACTCCACTTCTCCGAGGTCGGGCCCCCTTTTCCCAGTAGAAGTGCCCTGTTTCCCTCAGCGTGTATTTCCCAGCCTTAGAGATCTCTGTCAATAACTGTGCGCCCAGGTCGCAGCCAGTCCTCGGGACCACACTGTCTCCTGCAGCGAGCACCTGTGGAGTCAGTAAGGAAGAGGTGCAGGGCCTCTGGTTCCCCAAGCCTTAGCCTTGTTTTTGTGTTTGTTTTGTTTGGCCCTGACTGTCCTGGAACTTGCTCTGTAGACCAGGCTGGCCTTGACCTGCCTCTGCCTCCCAAGTGCTGAGATCAAAGGCGTGTGCCACCACCACCCAGCTCAAGCCTTAGGTTTGTTTGATGGTGGCACCTCTCTTAAGATGGTTGCTCATAGCACACTAACAAATGCAGGGGCCCTCTGCTGTGCCTGCCTGTACTATATGGACCCAGATTTGCTGTCTTAAATGAGTTCTGTGCAGTGCCAGATTATGTGCCCATGGAGCTTGCCTGGGTTCTCTTCTCTCCTTTTCTTAAAGCCCTGAGGGGAATTTTATTTTCTTCCTTGTCCCGGCTGTGCTGCCGAGCAGCCAGTGCTACAGTCCTTTGCCTCTTTCGCAGTTTAAGGTACAACGCGTCTGGATCTGACCTGGTCACTAACTGTTGCACACACCTGCAGCCACACCCCGTGTTCAGTCTGGTACAGATACAGGAGTGTTCTGGCTGTCTCCAGTCTCCCATAGCACCTTGCCCTCTCCTTTGGTCAGCTGCACAACTGTATTTAAATTCATCACCTGGGTACTTGTACACGCTAGGCAAGTGCTGTGCCACCAAACTGCACACCCAGCCATATTGATATGGTGTTAATATGTGCTTGCTGTACCTGATAAAAAGTAAGAATGTAATATGCATAAATGTGTAGTTTAAAAATATGAATATATTATTATTATTATTTTATTTTTTGCATTGCTGTAATCAAAATACATAACCAACAACTTGAGAGGAGAAAAGTTTATTTGGCTCATGGTTTCAGAGAATTTCAGCTGATCCCAGGAAGGCTTGGCAGCCAAGGCATGGTAGTGAGGGTATGTGGTAGTTATATATATGTTGGAAAGCCGGAAGCAGACAGTTCTGCCTCTCAGGGGTGGATATAGTCTATAAAGCCTTATCCCTAGCAGCCTATTTCTGTCAGCCAGACTTCATCTCCTCAAGGCCTTCCACCCAACACCACAAGCTGGGGACCTGACCTGGTGTTCAAAATACGAGTGGATGGAAACATTGGAAATCTTGCTCATTCAAACTATAACAATGTGGGAAATAGTTTTTGGTGATTCTTCATGTCCTAGAAGAAAGTGGTACATAGTTCCACAATAGTATTGTGGAAAAGTATGCTTGTTTCATTTATTCACAACAGAAAAGTCTCTAAGAGAAACAATTTATTAGTAGAGGCTTCATGAAATGTGAGAAAGAGCAAAGAGAATAGAAAACAGAAGGAAAGGTCATTAATTGTTTCTTTAAATTTTGAAACCGAACTAGGTGTTTTGGGTTGAAGGACAAAGAGTAAGTATGGTGAGAAGTATAGTTAACCGTAAAACTGGAACCACAATCAATTCTGTCACCTGTCTCGGGATAACAAAAGGCAGTAGAACAGGGAATCGAGGAGGGTGGTTCTAGGCTCTGTATTCAATAGAGTAGTTCTGTTTGGAGGCACAGTAAATTTTCTTCTACTATGCTATCTCCTCTCCCAGTGTAGTTTTAGCAGCAACCCTTATGGGATCAACTCTCAGTCCGAGTCCTTCATAGCAGCCAGTAATGGAGTTTCCCACAGAGCTGAGCGCGTGTCAGGTTTCCCTGCCCTTCAGCGACAGGTTCACATCCTTGCATGCTAGTGGTTACTAGAAGTGCATATATGGCGAAGTTTTCTAAATTCAGTATGAAACTGCAGTTTAAATGTATGGAAGTTTGTGGAGCTGGTTAATTATTAATTCCTTTTTTGCAGATTTGCCCATTTGGCAGCAGTGAAGCTGCTAGAGGGGCTGCAGAAATACGAGATAGATGACGAGGCTGGAATTGATGACAGTCACACACAGTTCTTCATAAGGCATGGTGTTGAGGGCAGCACCGATGCCAAGGATGACGTGTGTCTTAGTGACGCAGACAAAGCAAACGCCAGAAGTGAGTGTGCTGTCCCTATCATGAACAAACGCCAGAAGTGAGTGTGCTGTCCCTATCATGAACAAACGTCAGAAGTGAGTGTGCTGTCCCTATCATGAACAAACGCCAGAAGTGAGTGTGCTGTCCCTATCATGAACAAATGCCAGAAGTGAGTGTGCTGTCCCTATCATGAACTGGCCATTCAGAAGCGCTGTGTCCGTGGCCGGGGAGATGGCTCGGTGAGGGAAAGCGCTTGCTGCGCACCGGTGAGGACCTGAGTTTAATCCCTAGAACTCATATGAAGGTGGCATAGCGGCACACTTCAGTAATCACAGTGCTCTCAGTGCATGATGGGAGGAAAGTCAGGAGAAATCCTTGAAGCTCGAGGACCAGGTAACCTGGAGTGTGCATCCATGCACAACGAAGAGATCATGTCTCAAGTAAGGTGAAAGCAAGGACCAATGCCAGAGATTGTCCTTTGAACTCCAAACATCTGTTGTAGCATATGCTTGCCTGAGTGCACATAAAAGATCACGCACACATATGATTGTGTGCACACAGACAACACATATCATACTCACACACTGCCAAAAAAGAAAGAAAAGAAATTCACTGGGGCTGGTGAGATGGCTCTTGTTGCTCACTTAGGAAGTGAGCACACGTGCGCACACACACACACACACACGTGCACGCGCACACACACACATGCATGCACACACACCTCTCAGTGATTTCTAAGGTTTATTGATAATGATCTTTTTGGTAAAGATTTATTATTTTAGTATGCATGGGAGTTTTGCTTGTATACATGTTTGTGCACCGCATGCATGCCTGGTGCTCACAGAGTCCAGAACGAGGCAGCAGATTCTCAGGAGCTATAGTTACAGATGGCTGTTAGGCACCACGTGGTACTGGGAATCAAAGCTCAAGAACTACTCTTAACCACTGAGCCATTTCTCCAGCACCAGTAATCATTTTATTTTTGAGATTATAATTACAACATTTCTCCCTTTCTTTCCTCCCTCCAAACCCTCCCATATACCCCTTCCTACTCTCTTTTAAATTCATGGCAGATTCTTTTTTTCACTAATTGTTTTTGCATATATTCTCAAAGTTTACTGATAGTCTACTGTGCTGTCCATTGTTGTTATTGGAGAAAATGGGTCAATTCAAAGGAACTTCTGTTTGGTGATGGCAGTCAAGGGGAGCATAATACACAACTGGTAAGAAAGTAGGAGTGTAAAGAAAATGAAGTGGTGGTATAGGTAACGGTTAGGACGTTCCAGAAGAGACTTGAGTGTGATGAGAAGGAACTGTACCGAGATCTTAGGAGAAAATCCTGAACAGATTGTGCAAAGGCTGAGAGGACTCACTAGGGAGAAGTTAACAGAGACGGTGGAGAGCTGAGTGGGCCCAGTAGGAGTAAGGCATACAGTGTCTAGAGGTTGGCTGTGGAGAAAACCAGTATCTGACCAGTTCTGCTTGTTGTGCGTCTAGATTTCCAGAGAGCAGAAAGACCATTTCCTTTTACGGGGCGAGAATGGGAGTGGGAAGGTCAGTTAGGGGGGGCGCGGCCTTAATTTGGAAGAGAGTTGGTGATAGCTTAGGTCGGAATGGAGGTGTGAGAATTGGATGTTCTTTCCAAAGGGCTCATGGATTTGCCGATTGATCTGGGTGTGGGGAGTTCGAAGATGAAGGCAGGGAAGGCTGACTCTTTGGTACCTCACTTACCTAGGTGAGTGGTAATGAGTCTTACAGGATCATTTGCTCAGGAGAGAGGAGAAAGGAAGGCTTTGCAGAAGTGGGATTTGTGCTTTGCCTCGAATGGCTAGGAATCAGGTGAAATGGTTGAGGAAGGCATGCCATTTACCCAACACTTGTGTGGTCTCTACTGTGTTCACAGCCTTGGCTAAGGACTATGGTCATATACTGGATAGAGTTTGGAACATTTCTAGAATTTAACATTTCTAGCCTCTCAGTTATTTTTCATGATGACCACCTGGAGGATAATCTGATTCCATTTAATGATGTCTTAATGTGCTCAGGCCGTTGTAATTAAACACTAGAAAGTTAAACAATAGAAATTTATCTCTTACCATTAGGGACTGGAAGTCCTAGATCAAAGTCTAACATGACTGTTTTATGGAGCAGGGTCCGCTTTCAACTTTGATGTGACTGTGTACTCAAAATGGAAGAGTGAGGCTCTTCTAGAGAGCATGGATGCGATTGAAGCCCTAAAGTGTTTTCCTCTAGTGATATCAATCTCATGAGAACAGTATCCTTGCTTGTAGTAGTAGTGTGATGGTTTTGCTCTTCTAGGCTCTTGTGGGCCACCACCCAGCTCCCAAATGAATCACACAGAGGCCCATTACTTAGAAACGCCCGGCCTTAGCCTGACTTGTGTCCAGCCGGCTTTCTTTCATTACCCCGCTCTGGGCTTTCCCCGTTCTCTTCCCTCTGTAAATCCTACTCTGTGGATTGCTGTGTAGCTGGAGGGCTGGCGCATGATGTCCTCTTCCTTTCCTCGCTACTTCTCCTTTTCTCCCAGATTTTTCTTCTATATATTCTTTCTACCTGCCAGTCTGCCTCTCCTTTCTCCTGCCTTGCTATTGGTTGTTCAGATATTTATTATACCATCAGGTGTTCTAGACAGGCAAAGAATCACAGCTTCACAGAGTTAAACAAACGCAACAATCCTTAACCTTATATTCCCTAACACTTGCTGTCGTGCCCTTTAACCCGTCACCTTCTAAAACCCCATCTGCACATAACATTACTGGAGTACAGAGCTGGAACGTGAGTTTGAGAGAGACTCAGTCTATAGCAAATGGATAACTACCCAAACATTCTACGTTAGTTAGGTTAGAGTGCTTCTCCCTGCCCCAGAATACATGTTGGTACAAATAGACACCCAGAAGCCAATAGGGCTGTGGTTTCTATTGGTGTTATGCTTTAAAAAAAATGAATTAAACTGAAGTCTGGTAATTAGAGCAAATTTTGTTTCTGTAGCATTTCTGCTGATGGTATAGAACTCTTCTGCCAGAAATTTGACTCTAGTGAAAGGTTTGCATTTCTGTAGAACTTTAGCTATTGATCACAGTACGTGTATGGGAATGATAATATCTGTGTTCTCTCTTAAGAAACACTAATAGACTATTATATTATCTGATTTATAAGATGCCCTGGGTTTAGAGATGCTAAGTTACCTATCTAAAGCCACCTGGTAAGTGGACGTAAGGCCTTAGACTTCTTTATATAATGCCCTTGTCACCACACCCATTGATTCCTGTAGATAGTATTTCATGCCATTGTAACCTTGATAGGGAGCCGTCGTTTGTTCTAGTGAATGAGATGGATGCTGTCTGTAGCTCTCTGCATGTGTTTGAGTTGAGAGCAATCGAAGCACAAGCAGCTGTGGAGTGAGTGAACAGTGGGTCTTAGGCAGCGAGTTCAGACTCCAGAGCTTCACCACCTTTTGCTCTCTCTATTACTCTCAGAACCTTGGTTTCCTCATCTAGGAAAATCAACAGTGTTGCTATTGCTACCCCTACAGAATTGTTATAAGGCTTAATTTCATACACTAAAGAATAGGAACTGCCTAGCTGTGGCAGAGGCTCAGAAAAATGTCAGTTCTCCTTTCTTTTGATCTTTGGAGGGCGCTTTTGTTATTTTGGTTGGACTATATAATTGTGCTTAAACTATTTTCTAAGAAAAACTTGAAATTCATGTCTAGATTTATTTTTTCCTTTAAAAAGATTTAAAACCTTTCAGTACAGTCTTAGGCTTATTTTCCAGGGACCTGTGAAGTTCTTCCATTGTGAATTCAACTAAGAGAGGCTGAAGATCCTGGCATTGGATTTGTCTAATTTTCTAACATGCAGTAGATAATGCATGGTCTGGTACTTCTCATCTTAAAACACTGCTAAACTTCTTTAAGCCATCCTGCCTATAGCATCATCATCATCATCTGAGGTGTGTTCCAGTGGCAGATAAAGAGTCCTCCCACTAGGCACTTCGTTGCTTGCATCACTGATTTTTACCCTTGTACATATATAACACATTCCCATCAATTCCTTACATAAACAGCAGAAGTAAATAGGGCTGAAGAGATGGAGAAGGCTCAATGGTTAAGAGCACTTTTTGCTCTTGAGGAGGACCTGGGTTTGGTTCCCAGCATCCACATAGCGGCTCTCAACCATCTGTTCTCCAGTTCTGGGGTGTCCAGTGTCCTCTTCTGACCTCCACAGGTACCAGGCACAAATGTGGCCCATAGACATACATGCAGGCAACACATTCATATACATAAAAAATTAATAAATATTTTTAAAAGACTGTTGCGCACAAAAAGGAAGCAGATGTTGGGAGGGAGTCACCATCCTGTAAGCATATATCCTGTCATCTAAACTCAGTTCCTACTCAACTTTCTTTCAGTGAGAGCCTACAAGAAAATTGTGGAATTGAGACAACTTCTGGAGATTGCGGAGAGCAACTTCAAACACTTGGGTGGGATAACAGAGGAGGATCTCCAGAAGAGAAAAGAACAGCTGGAGTCTGAGAAGTAATGTCCTTAACCCGGTGCTTTGTATTTCAGTACCTGTGAATTCCACGTGAGGCTTTCTTCCCAGAAACGCGCCCTCCCATCCTGCCATAGAGTCAGGTCCCGTTCTTTCCCCTCCTAAACCCTTTGAGATGTTTTTAAAGTCATGAAATCATAGCCTTCACATAACATCAGCCATCTCAGCAGTTTAAGGGTGTAGTTCAGCAGTGTTAAACACACTCAGGCCATTGTGATCCAGTCTTCTAGACTATTTTCATCCTGTAAAGTTGACATTATTTCTGGAGTTTTTGACACTACAGCTATTTTAAATCGTTCAGCCAGCATAGGTGACATGACCTGTAAATATTCCTATTAGACTGAACTTCCCACTCAGAAAGTGATGAAATCCATTTCTTTGTTCACTAAATTATAGGCCCAGCATGGCTAGCACTGTGCTGTCCTCACCATTGAGTTACAGAGACAGCAGCCCTGGCTCTAGCTGCAGCACCTGTTATCAGGATGACTGTCGTGTTTTCTTCATAGCTCTCTCAGCCACTGACCCTGCTCCTACCCATACTCCTTACCCCGTAGTTTGATCTTAACTCAGCATCCGGAAAAATCATATGGAAGCTTAAACAAGACCATGGTGTTGCAGTGTCATGGCCTGTCCTGGCTTCCTGATTTACTCCTAAAAGCCATCTTCCCTGTGACTGTTGGGGCTGTCTCTGTTCTGTCTCTCCTTTACCGCTAATGTACGTTACTGTCTTACTCAACTGTTCCAGTCATGCTGGCCTTTAGCCTTCTTGTACTCACTTAGGCATAATCCTTTCTTAGGACCTTTTCCCCACTGTCTGGAAGGATCTCTCCACACGTCTGAATAATTCTCTTTCATTCCTTTCAAAGCTTGGCTCAAATCTCTTCTCAGTAAAGTCTCCCTAGCCACTGTCTATGAAGTTGCCCTAGCATGATTTCTGTGCTGTGTGAAACACTCCCCACTCCAGTGTGGAGGAGGAAAGGGCTTATTTGTCCCTCTTTCCAGATGAGCCTTAGTCACATGGACAAAACCTGACCAGCACAACTGACCCTGGTCAGTTTGACACAAATTGTAATTATTAAACCAACCTTTCTTGTTTGTCCCTAAGATATCATGTTAATATCACACTATAGAATATAGTATAACTTTTAAAAGTCCTAATGTCCTTTAAAAATTAAAGCATTTTAAGAGTTAAAGGTTTTTGTTTTGCCGTGGTGGCACTCAGTGCATGGGAGGCAGAGGCAGACAGAGCTGTGTTTGAGGTCAGTCTGTCTACGTAGTGAGCTCCATGACAGCCAGGACTGAACAGAGTGATCCCTGATTTAAAATAAAACAACAACAACAAAATTTCTTTAAATAAAGACAGGATCTTACTATGTAGCTTTGGTGGTCTTGAATTCACTATACAGTCCAGACTGGCCCCAAGTCCACAGACATTTGCCTACCTCTACCTCCTATGTGCTGGAATTAAAGCCCCTTGACCCCCTACTGGACCACAGCCTTCATGTTCTGACCCTGAGGACAAACTTGCCAGAAAAATTTACCTCAATGATTCTGATCTCTTGTTAAGCACAGCTGATTCCCCTTGAGGAGTACTGATTAGCTTGGCAAAACAAATTCTCTCCAGTGGTACTGGTCTCTTGTTAACCACAGCTGCCCCTTCAGCGTAGCTGACCCTTCTGCGGTTGCCGGGAAGTACAGGCTTAGCTTCCTCAGGTGTCACAGGAATGGGCCCAGGAGAGTCTCTGCTTCTTTCGGAAACTTTACAGATCACCCTATAACTCTCAGAATTCTTCCTTCTGAACTCCCACAACAGCTCACAAAGCTTTTAGTACTTAGAGCCTAAAGTTCCAGAAACTTCCACAATCCTCCCCAGAACAACATGGCCAGGTCTGTCACAGTGCTGTGGGTCCAAGGCTCTGAGTCAACTCAAGCAGACACAGGTTCCGCAGAGCAAGATTTACTGTGAGCAGTACTAGATCTACTGTGTTCCCCATGGTCATTTCAGCAAGTACGTAAGAGACATCTGTGCCAAAATACAGTTCATTTTCCCCTCCAATCGGGATTCAAAGATTAGGGGTTTTTCCTTCATGTTCCATCATTGGCAAGCAATGTAGAATGTAAGCTTTTCAGTCCAAGCAATCAGATTCATTTGTTCCTTCTGTTAGGAACAGCTGTAATGTGTCTAGAGAACTGAAGATGCATAGCAGACTGTTTCTATTGTTTCAGGAGGGGATGGGTCATCTATTGGAAGGTCCCCAGCTCCCCTAGGGGTGGGGAAGGTGAACTTTGTTTTACCCTGCAGGTAAAATGGAATCTGAAACCAAAATGGCAGTACTGGGGACAAGGCACTTTTGCCTGTTCCCAACAGCAGCGATATCACTGTCTGGTACCATTTTCTGTCCTAATTGGCCTTTCTGTTGCTGTGGGGGAGGAAAGGGTGGGACTTACACTTCCAGGCACACCTGCCTTTATGTCAGGGCAAGAATTCACGGCAAGAACCCAGAGCAGGAACTGAAGCTGCTTCCTTACTTGCTTTTCATAGCTCGCTCAATCTCTTTTCTTATTCCCTGAGGACCACCTGTCCTGGTGGCTCTGTCTGGGCCTTCCCATATCATTCATTTTAATCAGGAAAAATGTCCCATAGGTATGCCCCCAGGTCAGTCTGGTAGGAGGAATTTCTCACTTGGGACTCCCTTCTCCCACACTACTCCGGCTTGTGTCAAGTTGATAAAAACTAACCAGCACGGACATGTTAATCACCTGCTTCACATTTTATATTACTGTTTCCTGCTTTATTTTATTTCCCTCTTAGTACTTGTTACCTTCCTGCATACCATGTGTTTTGCTTATTTATTTGTTGGTCACTATTTATCCCTAGTACTTAAATCACTGCTGATGCTTCTAAGACCCTAAATACAGTTTACAAATAAATGATTTTATTTCTTTCAAGTACAGATGCTTCCCACAGTTAACAAAAATAGTTCTTAGGTATATGGGAATTGACTGAAGAAACATTTTTGATAGAACCATCAAAGAGCTGCAGGACCAGCTGGCCTATGAGCGACTCCGCAGAGAAAAGTTAGAGTGTCAGCTGGACGAATACCGAGCAGAGGTGGATCAACTCAAGGAAACACTGGAGAAAATCCAGGTCCCCACTATCGTGGTTACGGTTGGTGTTCTTAACACATTTATTCTTGTTGATAAATAGTGTTATCATTTATTAAGATATGGTGGGGGACCCATGTGTCACCTGGCGGGTAGCCTGAGGCCTCTGCGGGAGATGGACAGACACCCGTGCAGAGGGAAAGTTTGGGTATAGAGTTTATTTAGTGGGTAATGGAGGGGAAAGGGAAGGAGAAGGAGAGAAGAGGGAAAAGGGGAAGGGAGAGAGGATAGAGGCAGAAGTTGCCTCTCCAAAACAAGGGGAGGGAGGAAGGACTGGAGAGAGATCTGCTTGCCTGGGGGTGGGGAAGGTGGGAAGGTTGGGAGTGGGCAGAGCTTGTCTATTAAAGGGGACAGGGTACCCAGGTGACAGACCAGGCCAGGAGAGTACAACAAATAGTATATAGAAAAGGCTAAGATTGTCAGCTTCGGATTGGGGCTGAATTTGAATCTTGTTTATAATCTTTTTTGATGTGGGTAAGCTTTTGGTGCATTAGAGCTTGCGTTGCAAACTAGAACTAATAATACTTTCTAGAACTCCCATCAAGATTGTGAATTTGACATTCTTTGCCACTGTGAATAAGCATTATTTTTTACTTTCTGGAGCTGTATTTTGAGTTTCAAATATATACATTTTTGTTATGAAAAAAAAAAGCCAAAATCAAAAGACCAAGAATCGAAATAGTGATTCCACCCAGTGTTAGTTTTTCTAGTAGAAGAAACAACCTCCCAAAAAAACCCATATCAGCAACACAGGAAACATAGGATGAGGACAATAGTTTCTCTGTCAGCAGGGGACTTACAGCCCTTCAGTCTCATTAGTCTAGACTTGGACTCCCAGTCTTCCGTGAGAAAAGACTCTGTGACCTGGGGGAGGTGGCACATGTCTTTAATCCTAGCACTTGGGAAGCAGAGGCAGGCAGATCTATAGGTTTGAGGCCAGGCTGGTCTACAGAGTGAGTTCCAGAACAGCCAAGGCTACATGTAGAAACCCTGTCTCAAAAACCACTGTGATGTGGCCCTGGGGCCAGCTTATCCTGACATCATGTGGACTGAGAAGTATTAACATTTTCATCCTTTAGAGTTTCTGTCTTCAGTCATCATGAATAAATTATTTCAGACTTCTGCCACCTTGTCTGATCTAGAACAAAACTCCCTGGCTTTTTATTTTACCCAAACTAATCATTAGGTCCTTATCACTTCAGAGATCATGACATAATAGATTTGCTTGCAAAATGTTGAAACCAGATAAATGTTCTCCAAACGCAGCCTACCAGCATGAGCTGAACTACCAACAGTTTAGTTCGTGAGACGTAGAAACGTTTTCCACTTATCTGTGAACATGTCTACGTGTGTGTCTTCCTTCCTCTTCTCCCCTTTATTCTTTCCTTGAGACATGGTCTTACGAGACCACAAACCTGAAGTGCACTAGGTAGCCCAGGCTGGTGTCATTCACAGTTTCCCACCTCAGTCTTCCGTGTGCTGTGCCCACAGGTCTGTGCCACTGTCAGGCCAGGTTGGGTGTCGTGTTGGTCACACGGCTAGAGTGAAGCGGGGACGAACTCAGACCCACCTTGTGGCCGCACCTCTAGTTCTGTAGACAAAGACTAACTGGTACTTTAGTATAATGCTCTCCCTAGGGCTCCCTTCCTTTGTTCTGATAGATGAGTATTTCCACCTGAAATTCCCAGCAGTGGCTAGCTTCAAACTGAATGAAACCAAAATTAACATCAAGACCAGATTTTCATCCCCAGATCTAGTACTTAACTGCCTAGTTTTGGGTTCTTTTCTTTTTCTTCTTTTGCAACAGGGTCTCTCTGTAGCAATGGCAGGCCCAGGACTCATTATGTAGATCAGACTGGTCCCTGCCTCCCAGGTGCTGGGATAAAGGTGTACCTTATGCCTGGCCAGTTTTGGATTCTTGAGGCTTTTCCTGCATTACTTTCCCTCCATCCATGAACTTGGCTCACCAGCGTGGTCTACCTTTTGCTGCTGCCCTGAATTAGCACAGAACTTAGGTGTCCTGTCCGTTTGAGTGATCAGTCAGCTCGGTTTCCTGTCATTTCTTCTTCTGAAAATCTTTGCCTGGACAAAGTGGATTCTTCAGTGTGGATTCAGTTCTAACTTTCCTACCAGCCCTGCATCTGTCAGTGCTTATGTAGGCGAGCCTTCTCAAACCTCGCGCACTTTCCTGCACCGAGCCTTTGCTCATTTCCTTTATATCGCAGGGTCTCCTATCAAATCTGTCCCCATAAGAATCCCTAGGAGTCATCTGTTCCTCCTGCTCCAGGACATTAGGCCCTTCGTTCTGCTTTGAGGGAGTCTTACTTCCTGAGTGAGGTTGAATGCTTTACCCACAGTACTGAAGTCTGAATTTCATGAGATCATTTAACACACTTTGAGATCTTGGGCATCATCAATATTAGGTATTATTACTTAAATATTAGCCTTAATGTCAAGGCTTTTTGTTTAGCATACACTGTTTCATAACTGAGAACCATAGTGCCAGATAAAAGTTTATAGTTACAGCAGTTTGTTAGAGGTGTGATATTAATCTGCCCAGCTCCAAATCCACCACGCATGCTTCTCACATCACTGTTATTGCCTTTAGAAGCCATTTGCTTTCATTATTGTACTTGTGAAAAATTCTGACAAACTTTACCTTTAAGAACTTGTATGATTCCAAGTTGTTTCAGAAACAGAGCAGAGGGAAGGGTGGGGGGGCGTGGTTTTGTTTTTCCAGGCTGTATTAGATAGTAGCAACTTCCATTTCACGTGCTGGGTATTAGAGTTAACTCTCGAGCACATGAGCAATGGCAGGGCAGGAATGCCTTTGGAAGTAACTCTGGCCGTGAGCTCTCCCCAAGGACACGTGCCGGAAGGCTGTTTTAGTAACACCTGTGTTCATATCTGTCTCACCTAAATAAGACATTTTCTCTTTTAAACTTCATTTAAAAGTTTTTCTGCATTTTGGTCATATTCCTCCCCACGCCCCAACTCTTTCCAGACCGCCCCCCACTTCATATGAACCAAATGTTACACATATGTACACACACCCAAAACCAAACAAACAAAAAATAAGACAAAAAAAAAAAGAGACAAAACCAAAACATGGAGTCTGTTTAGCGCTGGCCAACTATTCCTAAGCATGCAGCCTGCCCGTAGGGTAAATGGCACGCACATTTATTTACTAGAATTATTCCGCAATGATTAACATCTAGTGAACACCTGTTGTGCTCTTGTCTCCTCCTTTGCTCCTTCCTAGCTCGCTTGTTGATTTTTCTGTCTTAGGTCTTGTGAATACCAAGATGATGAGAAAGTCAGGAAGAGTGGAGAAAAATGTTGTAAAGAATACTGTACACACAAAAAACTCAGGAATGGAGGAATTAACATAGAAATCCTAGCTCTGTGGGGCTCCCTAAAGATTACAAATGACGTCATATTAGCACACTCTACCCTGCAGTGATGTATGGAAGGTTAACTAAGATAGAGGCAGGAGTGACAAGTTGTTCCCTTTGAGGTTGTATCAAGCAGATGGCACTGAATGGTTTTCCAAGGTGTCCATTCCACCTTGGATTCCAGCCTTAGGATCTGGCACAACATGAAGCACACATACTTTGGATCTGGGGATGTGGTTATACAAAATCCTAAAGAAATTTAATCAGAGAGGAAGTACTTAGCATGGACACTGTAGAAGAATGTTAGCAGGCTTTGACTCTTCTCCTCTGTGTTTATAGGAAGACACCTGCAGAGAGCCGAGGAGAGCAAGAAAGAAAGGGTCTCCTGGGGGCGCGTTTGTGAGAAGATGCTAGTCCGTGCAGGAAGGTCAGATAAATGCTTGATTTCCCTTCAGTTAAACATGATATAATGTAAATCTATAGAGATCCTTCCATTCTGAAGGTGAAAATGTTGTCTATCAAAGGGATTTTAAAAATTCCATGGACTCAGGATACATATACATTCAAGTCAACATTTATGAGTAATAATTTCACAAGTATTCACGTAAACTGTTAAATTTAAGATGGTACAATCTAATAGTCAAAGGAAATCCAATTCTAGATAATAAAATTATCAAAATGACACTATGGCTTCACAATAAAGTTGTATTTCTTCTCTTTTTATCTCTCTCTCTCTCTCTTTGGTTTTTCAAGACAGGGTTCTTTATTTACCAGTCCTGACTGTTCTGGAACTCTCTTTGTAGACCAGGCTGGCCTCACACTCATACAGAGCCACCTGCCTGTGTCCCGAGTGCTGGGATTAAAGGCGTGCGCCCCCAAGCCCAGCTCAAATTGTGTTTCTCTCACTCTCTAGAAAGTGCTATGAACTACTACGAATACGAATGTGCATATGATTTTCAGAGTTGTTCTTTGTCAGGTGTTACAGAGCACACCTCTAATCCCAGCATTTAGGAGTCTGGGAAGGAGTATCATGAATCTGGGCAGCCAAGCTCTCTAGTGACTGTCTGTCTCAAGATGCACAAGCATGCGTATGCGCACAGAAACTCACTTGCCCATCTTGACAAAACGTTTTTATTCAAACGACTTAACTTTTACAAAACATCTATACTTGGAAGGAAATTTTTTATAAAGTAGTCAGTTTTTACTCAGAACAGCTTTACTACAACTACCATGTCACTCAGCAGCTTGACATGACTGACAACCTACTCTCACAAAAAATCCTGGGCTACACCTTTGCTAAGAAAGCGCCCTCATATACTCTTGTTCAGAATTCCATCTTTACTCTGTGCTGCAAGCTTTATGGGAATATAGCTAAGAGGCACTCAGGACAAAGCACACGGCTTCTTTTCTCCTTTCCCCCATAATCTCTTGAGTTTAGAGACTTTTTTTTTGTTGTTGATGAAAAAGCAGCTGTGGTTCTGATGTAGTTCCTAAGCATTTCCATTCTATCCTCCTTTCTTCCTACGGTGGGTGAGCCAGCAGGATATGTGATGGCTCTTTGAACCTGGGGTCATTGGGATCACAGAGATCAGCTCAGGCTAATCCAGTCTGTAAACCAATGTTAACAGCGGCCATGGCTGGGGTGGGAGGTTCAAGGTCATTCTTGGTTATGTAGCCCATCTGAGGCCAGCCAGGACTACATGAGACCTCTTTCAAAGACACCGAGATACCTTTCATCTCCTGTATAGTTTGTGTCTTAAAAATTGGCAGGATTATTTTGAATTAAACTTGTTTTCCTTTTAAAAAGCTTCTGCTAAGACATTATGAAATCTTGTGAAATGCTTAGCTCTTTCAATCTGGATAGAGAACTAAGATGTTAGAAAAATATAGAGTGGTTGGAGCACCTGAGCTTGCATGCATAGCAGCCTTGTAAAACCTGGACGTACAGTTGGTCTGTGATCCTAGCACTGGGGGCAGGGACAGATGGATCCCTAAGGTTTGACAGTTTAGCAGAAATGGAAAATCCCAAGTTTGGAGGGTGAACAGGGGAGGGGAAGAGACGGGGGGAGGAAGAGTGGAGAAGGGGAGAGAGAGAGAGGGAAAGGGGGGGGAGGGAAGTGGTGGCAGGGGAGATCCTGTTTCACAAAGAGTAAGATACAGAATGAATAAGGAAGATACTCATTGATGAGCACACACACACACTAACTCTCTTTTAGATGGATATTGATATACCTACATGTATAGTTCTCTCTCTCTCTCTCTCTCTCTCTCTCTCTCTCTCTCTCTTTTGCCGAATTTAAGTGGGTGATTGAGACAGCCTGTTTCTGAGAGGTGAGAGTAGCGCTGGGGAACGGAGGTGGCAGGCAAACATCTGATCAGCCGCTTTGCATTAAGGCTTAGGCTCAGTCCCTGGGAGCAGCAAACAAACAGAATTGTTGCAGACTATTCCTTTATACTGTGAAGATGTGTCACTCTGATTGGGTTAATAAAGAGCTGAATGGCCATAAGTTGGACAGGAAGAGGTTAGGAGGGACTTCTGGGCTCAGAGAGGACTCGGAGAGGAAGACAGCAGGGTCGCCAGCCAGATGGAGAGGAAGCAGGGTGGGCAGTACAGAGTCAAGGTTAACTGAGCCACTTAAAAGAGTGTACATTCAAAGATAGGGCTTAATTTAAGTTCTAAGAACTAGTTAGGGACAAGTGTAAGCTAAGGCCAAGCTTTCATAATTAATAATAAGTCTGTGTCATTTTTTGTGAGCTGGAGGCCCAAAGAAAAATATGTCTACACAAAACAAAACACAAAAACCCACCCCTCAAACTGCTGTATATGTTGAAAAATTAAAAAGGCATATACATAAAATCAGAGTATCTCTATGTATTTCATATTAAATATAACACATTTGTAATGGGCTACACATTTTAAAATTTATTATTCACTACAAAAAAACTCCACTTACATAGGAAGTTACTTAGAAAATCCAACCAACTTCACTGTAGACTTTTATATAAAAAAATCTAACTGCAGTAATCAGCAGGGACATAAAATCCAGTAAGTATGTAGAATACAGAATTGTTTTCAAGTATGCAATCTGATAACAAATCCTACTTCATTTGCAAAGCTGCAAAACTCAAATGTAAAAATGGTTTCTGTTGCTGTAGTTACCAAACGGACAAAATGCTCTTCTATCTCAAACCAGGCTTTGGGAGAGAGCTTTTCAATACAATAACGTCATACAACACAAAAGTAAAACACCAAAACACTTGTATTTAGTCCACAGGTGCTCTGAAGAACTGTGGTAGCGCACTCCAAGGAGTGATGGGCAGCAACAGCAGGGGTCAGCTTTACTTCCAGAACCTATAAAACCCCAATGCTATTGCCAAGCAAGTGAACACCGAGGCTGTGGAAGAAAAGAAGCTATGTTACAAGTTATAGTTTAATTAATTTCGGGTCGTAAAATAATAATTAAATAAATAGAAACAAAGAAAATCAGATTTATAGCCCATGTTCTTTATTCCCTAAAAAACTAAACTAAGGATAAAAGGCATTTGTAAAGCAAGATTTATATTAATAGCTTCCTCTATTTCAGAGAGTAAAAATGAAAATAGTTTAAAAATATAGGTATCATGTCAGAAAATGTGAGTAGTACTTCAAAGTTGCTAGCATTGTGTCTTAGGTTTCTATTGCTGTGATAAACACTGTAGCTAAAGCAGCCTGGGGAGGAAAGGGTCTATTTATCTTACACTCCGAGGTCACTCTCCATCACTGAGGGAGGTCAGGACATGCAGGCAGGAACTGAAGCGGAAACCAGCTTACTCACTGGCATACTGGGCCTGCCTTCAACCTGCCAGAGGTCAGTGGCACCACCCACCGTGGGCTGAGCCCTCTCACATCAAACATCAAAATATGCAAACAGATTTATTGGTCAATTCTTAGCTTAGCTCATCTTCATGAGTCTGATTACATATTCAGGGTTTCTCTTAACCCTGAATTAACCCTGGATTCCATAGAATCCAGCTCCAGAAGTGTACACGATGAGGCTATTCCACACAACATATCTTAAGGAATTCACCCATACTGTTGCTAGCCTGCCCAAGACTTCCCTTCAAGGACTGCCACTTTAAATTTACGTAGGGAACATGAATGTCCTGGATCAGTCCTCACACTGCCATCATGCCATATCTTCCTACTTATTTAAAAATACGTAATTGTGGCTTCCTAAAATGCTTACCACTAACAACAGTATTAAAACATATTTAAAGAAGGAAGGAGAAAATGACTCAGTATTACTGATTTCAAATCCTCAGTGAAGAAAACAGAAGAATGACTCAGGAAAGTCTTTATTTTTGTGTGTATGTGTATTTTACATGTATGGCTGTGAACCATGTGTGTGACTTGTGTCTATAGAGACCAGAAAAGAACACAGCATCCCCCGGGACTGGAGTTACAGAAGGCTGTGAGCCATGTGGTGCTGGGAATCAAACCCTGGTCCTTGAAAAGAACAACCAGTGCCCTGAACCACTGAGCTTTCTCTCTAGACCCAGGGAAATCTTCTTTAAAACAATTACTAATTTGCTTTTCTCTTTTGCTACCACTAAGCCTATTAGATTTACCCTGGATATCTAAACTGCGGAATGAAGGCTTTTTGGAAAATGTCACCATCTTCAACTTGCAGGGTAAAAGGGGATTTGTTTTTAACTATGGTGTTCTGTAGGTAAATATGCAAGAGAATACTGGAAAATGCCAGTTCTAATTCAAAACCATCCCTTTGTTGCTTGGGACTGATTTTAGAAGAGGATGGGTATTCCAAATGGCTGTTTGGAATTAGATAGCATTACAGTTAAGCTCAAGGCCTTTGGTTTTACAGATTTTTCTAGAGTAGGGGTCTTCGCAGCCTAGCTTTAGAATTATTATTATTATTATTATTATTATTATTGGTTTTTGGAGATAAGGTTTCTCTGCGTAACAGCCCTGGCTGTCCTGGAACTCAATTTTTTTAGGCCAGGCTGGCCTCGAACTCACAGAGATCCGCCTGCCTCTGTCTCCCGAGTGCCACCACTGCTGTCTTAGAACTATTTTTTAATCTGAATTTTAAGAAGGAAACTAATGTTAAGGAGATAAAAAAAAAAAAAGCAGAGCTTTCATAGTTAAGAAAGAAGGTGCTGGGCTGGACAGATGACTCAGTGGTTAGGAGCACTGACTGCTCTTCCAGAGGACCCGGATTCAATTCCCAACACCCACGTGGCAGCTCAAAATTGTCTGTAACTCCAGTTCCTGGGGACCCGACACCAATGGCAAAACAACAGTGCACATAAAAAAAAAAAAAATTAAAAAAAATTAAGAAGGAAGGGGGTGCTTTTTAAAATTTTAAATTTTTTTTTAATTTTAAAAACTTAGAAAGAAAGAAAGAAAGAAAAAAAGAAAGAAAGAAAGAAAGAAAGAAAGAAGCATGAGCTGAGGGCTGACTCCATCTTCTAACTGGTGACATCACCACAGACAGGGGCTGCCTAGAGAACCACTATCATCAGGTTTTTTTCTCTTTTTTTAAATAGTATTTTGTTAATGCACACATTTAAAACAGGTGTATCTTCTGACCCCAAGTTTTTAGGCGTATAGCAACAAGGGTATTGCAGTATGTGCCCTCAGAAAAGCACGCCTGTATATGGATGTGCAGACTAGTGCTGCTCTT